TTTGGGGATTGAGTGATAAAGACTATTTATGTATTTGTGATTTGCATCAAAGTGTCATTTCATGTAGGCTTTACACATACAGGGAAAAAATGAGAATTGGAATTAGAGACTACAGTCATAGTAGCAGTGTATGAGTAGAGCTCAGATTGATGCAGGTGAGAGCAGGATATTGCCTAGCTGATTCCTGCCATATCCTGCAAAAGATAAACCCTTAATCGGATCCCTTATTAGCATCAAGTGTGGAAAAAACAGCTCATGCCAGGGATTACTTAGTAAATGTAGTTAGTGGGAGAAATTATGCATTGAAGAAAATACGAAATCCCTCAAATTATCTTTGAAATACAGTGGGATAAATGAAGACTCATTCCATTTCAGTGACTTAGATAGACTAGTGTAGTTGGAGAGGAAACTGAGCATGCCTGCTCTCCCAGGATTTTAAAAGATTTACATTTTTAAGGCAGAATTGTTTATCCCTAAAATTTGTACTCGTACTTTCAGAGGAAGAATTATGACCTTGTGTCACAGAGTAGAACCCATTGACACATGATCTCTACCTGTTTAAATCCAGACTAGACTCTTTATGCCATCGTGTGTGTTCAATACTGGTGGCTTAACTTTGCCACTGGCTTTAGTATTTGCAGTTTAAAAAAAGCGAGACTGGGTAATATGTGTTAAGTGTTTGGTGCATCTCCGAAATATACCTTATTTTGTGTTGCCACTGTTACAATGTTTAATTGTTCTTACTAGAAGATTAAAATATCAAATTTGTCATTATTATGGGCAGGCAGAACAGAATAATTCCTACTGAATTTGAAAGTCTGTCCTTTCATTTTTTGGTGGGCTTTCCTAACTTTCCATGTCCTTAGTTCAGCTTCAGGCAATGTCTTGACATATAGTTTTGCTGTCAATACATACTCGTTGACTGAAATGTTTTTATGCCTACCCTGTGGGTTTTTGTTTCTAGCAAACCTGTATCATATTTGCTTTCTAGTGATTTCTTTTCTATGTGCAGCTTAATTGTTTTTTGCTAGATAAAGGAGTGAGAAAGTGTGTTCCATTGGTGGCCTAAGAAGTCATGAAGCCCTGTAGTGTTCAAAACCAGAAGAGACATGCTGGATTTTCTTACATTTTTTCAGTTAGTTGTATACCTTGGGAGATCATAACTGAGAAGGAAAATGCAGGAGGCATGCCAAAGTAAGCATATATTATTTCATTCTCATTTCTGATCAGATGGTTATAGCACTGTCATTACCATGAAAAACAGAATTGGAATATGAATCATTGGTGAATATCTACCGTTTTATGAAAGCAGGTTGTTATTGATGACGTAAACGTGAACCATCTTTGTGTGCTTTAGGGCCTGTGCTTGTTTGAGTTAGCACACTAATCGCTGCCTCCAGATACCTTTTCATTCCTGTAACAGGTAGTCCTCTGGTGTAACTTAGTATTCACTATTCTGGTCTCAAGAGGAGAATTACATTATACAAAAAGCATTTCCTTGCTCCTCCTCTTGCTTGTGGGCAAAGAACAACATGGTTCACATATAGGCATTAGTTAAATCTTTTGTTGAGAAGGTCATACATGCAGATGTGCACATAAGTGTCCTCTCTGTTTAAAGGCTGATACTGTTAAAATAGTTTTCCCATTTTAAAATTCTTGCCTTTTTTGTCATTCTTGACAGTGCCAGATTGATGCTTATTTCCACAGGGTTCATTCACGCAGTTTTGAGCCTTTTCACAGGCTTTTTACCATCACATTGTTGGCAAGGGGAAGCAGGCCTTGAAAAAAAATTTGAATTGTTTTTGCAGATTAGCACTGGAAAATATGATCTGTCCCTGCAGTCAGTTTTTTTGGGTATATTGGGCATGTCCGTGAGTGCAGACTGGTGACTGAAACACGATGTAAATTTGTGACTGCTGGATTCTCAGAAGAGACCCCAGAGAGACACCTGTATGATCAGTCATGAACAGGGCCACATGTGATCTTCAGATGTGCTTGCCCCTCAAGTTGTCTCTTGCCTCTGAATGCATCGCTGTGTGTAGACTTGGGCCATGCTGTAGTGCTGTCTGGAGCAGAAGGGGATGAGTCTACAGTCTAGCTGGTTCAGGTATGAACAAGTCCAGTCTACAGCAGATGGCCAAAGCTCTGCTCTTCCACAGCTGATTTTGGATGGTTTTAACCTAAGCTGTGGCCAGGCTAATCTCTATGGCTGTGATGGAAACACATAGAGGTCAGTGTGCTTATGCTCCATTCTTAAACCATCTCTTGGCGTCACAGGATAGACTGTGTGACCTCACACACTTAGAAAGAGCTCTGTAACTGAGTGTTGTCTTGTGGAAATTTTGAATGTAGCTTGCGTGGAGTTTCGTAGTTGAATACTTCTAGGGGAGATGTGGGGTCAGTGAGCAGTTCAGGAACTCAGGCTTGAAAAAATGCTACATAAAAAGTCAAGATAGGATGTAGTCCCACTTTTTAGAAAGGCAATGGGAAGCATTTGAGGCATACGAAAAGAATCAGGACATTTGGGGAGACTTGACTTTCACAGTAGAGACATTAATAACCATTTTAACAGTATTATTTACCTCCTGCTGCTTCATTTGAAAGACCAGAATGTAAATGTAATTTCAGAATGAACCATTTTTGTCAAAGCCAAAAAGAAACAGAAAAGAGTGCTGCTTCTTCATCTAAGACGGGGTTGCAAGAAAAAGAGAAGTTAGATTGGGTTTTGGGTTTTTTTACTGTTTTTTTTTAATGAAACACTTATTTTAGATGTCATTTTATATGCCACGCATAGAACAGAAAAGACTAATTTACTTTCTCTGGCACGTGGAGACCAGCTTTGTCATACAGCAGGTCCCATGTGATGCTGAACTTGCACTCTTAAAAAACTGTATCCTTTTGGGTACACTTCATCACTTTGTGCTGGATACCAGTTAATTTTAACAAAGATGCACAGAGACTTCCACAAAGTGCCAGAGGGAAGTATTTCAGAGATTTCAGAGTAATACTTCTGATACTTAGCCAGTTTGGAGGTGATTATCTGAAGCATGAGAGAATATTTCAGAGAGACCTAATGTCCAGGGAGGTGATCTCTGCACAGAAGAAAGAAGCAGTAAGCGTCCAAGAGGAATGTCTTGGATGGGAAGAACAGGTGAACTATATGAAAGGGGTTTTTTTGCAAATGCTTTTCCAAAAGTCCCAAAACAAAAATAAAAAATTTCCAGCTCTAATTCTGATTGGATTTTTCTGCCCTTTTTCCTTCCTGAAATGCTTTGATTTGTACTTACATCCTTTACTGCTTAGGCATTTTCATTGTCTTTCTAAAAGTGTGTTTAAAATACAGATTTGTGAGGCCAAATTACAGCACCCAAAATCGCCTCTTAACTGCTAGTCACTTAGTTGCTGTCTTCAAAATGCAACTGTGAATTTTTCTGAAAAGGAAACAGAAATATTATCTCTGGAAGCTATTCAAAAGACCATGCTCCTTCTGGAAAGAAGAAGTGCTAGCTGTTCGTATGGGTTGATTTTTTAAGGTATAATCCATAAAATTTGGCTTATGAATGCCAATTCTCCCATGACAGGTGAGGAAAAAGTAGGCTGGAGTTTCTTGTGGGTTTTGTCATTAATAAGACAAGAGTCAGAGTATCTTAGCACCCAACTCACAAACCTGGTCCAATATCTACCAAAGAAGAGTCTGATACTGCCAGAATATCTGAGCTCCAGGAAATATCCTCAACAGGAGAGGTTTGCTTCAGAAACAGAGCATACCTGACTATGTAAGGAGGGAGGCACTTCAGAGTGTTTATGGTTGTACAGTTTTTTATACCATCTAGAGCTACATCAGATGGTACAAAGGGACTGTATGGAGGGGAGGAAAGTAGTAATCTGATCAATCAATACTTCACTTTATCAGCACCTGTTGATTAGTCACTCCTCCGTTTCTCACATCATGCTGGTGAAATAAAGAAAGATAGTTATGTTGGTTTCCTGAAGAACAGAATTCAAGGCAGAGAGGTAAGACTCAGATTTATCCAACCAGTCTGAAGTTCTCAGGTGAGAGGTGTCTTTTCCCTGTGCATTTTCCCTGCCTCTGAAGACATCTCCTGCGTCTCCTTAAGGCTTGTGCATGTAGATGCACAGAACTAAAAATATTAAATGGGATATAGATGAGTGCAAAAACTTCAGGGAGCAGTTAACTTTGATTAATTGTTTCATTGTTTGTGGTTCATAGATTTCACCAAGTATATTGTGTAGATCTTATATAATCATAACGTATAAATCAAGGGCAAGGTTTTTTTGCTAGCTCATGTTAGCTTGTTACTAAGAATTTGTATGCATTAAACTTTAGTGTAGTTTTGAATGGCAAGGATTTTGCCTGAACTAATTTTTTACACTTCTAAATCAAGAATGTCTTCATGAGGTCAGCACAGGTTTTATCAGTGAAAATCTGGTGTGTCTTTTGGGAACCAGGCTTCTTTTCAAGAAGATTAATTATGGACTTAATATCAGTCCCTGGGCAGTCCCTGGAGAGACCTCCACTAATTCTGGTTGGCTTTAGTTCACCCTTATAAGAACTCTGCAGGACTTTAAGTATGGGAGTGCTCCTGCTCTAAGTGACACTGGATGTACGATGTAGGAAAAAAAATAATGCAAAAAAGTAAATAACACACCTGAAAAATTATGCTAGCTGTGAAAGGTGGATATCCTGAACTCCTTTCTGTCATGTTTTCACAGAATCACAGAATCAATTTGGTTGGAAGAGGCCTCTGGGATCATTGAGTTCACCCTTTGCCCTAACACCACCATGACAACCAGACCATGGCACTGAGTGCCACGTCCAGTCTTAAAGACCTTCAGGGATGGAGACACCACCACCTCCCTGGGTGGCCCATTCCAATGCCTAATGACCCTTTCTGTGAAGAAATGCCTCCTCATTTCTAGCCTGAACTTCCCCTGGCGCAGTTTCAGACTATGCCTTCTTGTTTCCTGTTGCTCAACAGCTTGTCCACCGGGAACATACAAACCTGAAGGTTCACCAGGTGGAATCAGCACTTGCACCTCATGTCCTGATGAGAATCATACTTCTCCGCCCGGAAGTACCTCCATTGATGACTGTACATGCCAGGAGGGATATCGTGCTGTAGGACAAACCTGTGAAGGTAAGTGTTTCCGTCCAGGAACAGAATACCCCTGGAATGCACAATGCAGTATTGGGACCATTTTGTTATTTGTATTTGCACTGTGAAGGACACGTCAAATTGCATGCAAGATTTTCCATGTCATTCTAAAACAATAAAAGTACCAAGATGCAAGTCAAGTTGGAAATGAAAAAAATTGTTTTCCTTCAGTAGCCTGTTGCACTTCAGCTAGCATCATAACTCTGTTGTCCTTGTTTAATCGTTCAGTTGTTCACTGCCCGGAACTGAAGCCCCCTGAAAATGGTTACTTTGTCCAGAATGTCTGCAACAATTACTTTAATGCTGCATGTGGGATCCGATGCAAAGCAGGATTTGATCTCGTGGGAAGCAGCATCCGGCTTTGTCAGCCAAATGGCCAGTGGTCTGGATCAGAGGCTACTTGCAGAGGTATGGATGTCATATGTTTGAAAAGTCTTTTTCTGTTGGATTAATTTGTTCTCAACAGCGGTATTCTCTGCACACTGCATAGTTGGGTGTGCAGATCTGATCCTGTTAGCTCTTGGGTGAAAGAATGTTCCAAAGGTAAATGTCCACTTCAATCACTCTGTTTCCCTCCTTCCTAAAATGGAAGGAGGACATCTGCAATAGAAAATGCAGAGCAGTATTTACTAGGCAGACAGTCTTTTGCAAGTGAATCTACAATCTTCTTCCTTAAACCTCTCTCCACCTAATTACTATGAATTTTGTATCTACGTTATATAAATCTAGCAAACCTACCAAGTAGTCAAATGTATAACAAGGCCTTGCCACATGGGTGTTTTGGAATATTCACCAGACTTCTGGCATAGATGGGCATTGGTGTTGGAAGACATTAACCATGGAAGAATTCCATTTTGCTTTCTTGCAGTTCCTTTGTATGAAAAATAGGAAAGCTTGGGCCTTAAGCATAATCTTCAGAAGAATTTTGAGTGGAGTTTCACTAGGGAAGAATTCACAATATCCTAGAAGTTCACTGTAAGAGAATGTCAGCTGAAAAAGAAATAAACAGAAGATGTGAAAGGGAGGAAACATGGGAAGGACCATCCTGAAAAACATTATTTCTGAAGCTCTTACAAGTACATAGGAACACAGTTTTGCTTTGTTATCACTTGTCTCTGCTTGAGGTTGGGTTTTTGTTGGTTTAGAAGGGGAGCTGCGTCCCCATGTAGTCCTGTCTGGTATGTCTTCAAAGGAGGGCCTGAAAAAACAGGTAGCAGCCTTCATCTCCTCAACAGCCGCAGGTTGTAGTTCAACATGTTTGACTTGAGTTGAATGCACTTGGCATTAGTATGCTGCACTGAAAGCTAGTAAATAAGTCATCGACTCCTTTTGTAACTCTTGCCTGGCCTTAAGTTCAGGAAAAGAGGCAGGATAGATCTTCGGAGGCATTAGCACTTTAAGCCGCTACAGCAAATGCTGCAGCCCTTAAAGAAACAGCAAGTCGTGGTTCTGAAAAGAGGAATCTGAACTAGAGATCATTTCCTCAGGACATTCTTATATAGCAGTTCACTTCTGCTTACATGACAGGACTCTTCTTCAGATAATCCTGGAAAACTTAGTCTTCCTTTATAGCTTCCAGTGACAGAAGGCAGGAAGGAAAAGCTTTCAATAGAAAATAAATTGCTGGCCAGTACCATGAGGGTATCTTGAGAAGCTAGACTTAAGGCTGTTGACTTTCCAACAGTCAAAACATAGACAGAAGACACATGCTACTTCAGGTAGACTGGAATACTGAGAAAGAGCACCTGCCTGTCAAGGCTTCTGTCACACAGTAGCCTCCAGTGCAAAAAATCTGGGTAAAGCTGCAGTCAGCCACAAAGAAAGAATCCTTCATCTTCACAGTCTGTAGAGAAGTGGAACATTCTAGTATTTGGAAAACCTCCTGGAACATTTGAAAATATTCACCTATTGGGTGTTGGTGCATGATCTTCCTTTAACAGGGAATTTGTCTGGAAGGTGGGGAAAGAGAACGAGTCTGCCTTGAGATACTGTCTTGATGTTGAGTTAATACCCTTTGAAGCATTGAAAAGTTATATTTTTGCTTTTCTTGTGCCATTCTCCATCATACCGAAGACTTCCAATTAAAAAAATACATTAAAAAATCCTGCTTTTACATGTGCTGGATCTGCTAATCTCGATTCGTTCAGACTATGAAAGGGAGCAAGATCAAAGGCACAGTTTATAGCTGTCTTGTTAATCCCAGGAGTATTTTATCACATAAATTAAGAAGGGAGAGTGAAGGAAAATCCCTTTGCACTGCTTTGGATTTTGATATTAAACAATCCTCAGTTGTTCTGCTGGCTAAAATCTGCTGTACTGTTGGAAAGTGATTAATGCAGTCATGTCATGCAATTAACAGTGACCCATGAAAAAAACAACTACAAAGCTTGTATTTAATCCAGAAAAATGTGTTACAAGAAGACCCAGAGCAAGCAGAATATACCGTTGGTTTTTTCTTTGGCTTTATGGCAATATTTTCTGGTCATGGAAAAGGCCTTATTGACAAGAGGATGGGTTTAATGTTTAATGCATGTTTAATGCATGGAACCATAACCAGGATAACACAGGCTCAGTTACAAGTTTCTGCCAGAGTCATACTGAGACAGTGAGTAAGTGTGAACATTGAAAGACTGAGGAGGCAGGAGCACTACAGCTATGCAGTCCTTCCAGAAGAGGTGGCTAGACTTACCAGGTAGTGGGTGTGCCTTCTCTGTACACACATTATCATTGCTGAGAACATCCTTGGTGTTCTGAATTCGTTCAGGCTTCCTCAATAATGTTGTAGAGTTTGGTAGTATTTGCTTCCTTTTACCACAGATTGGGTATTAAAGGCTTCCATAGAAACCTTAAAAGAGAAAACCTATTATCTTCTATATAAAGCATGGGTGATTCAGCTGTAAAAATGTCTTTCTTACTCACTCTACTACAGTTAAGATACAGCATATTAGGAAGCTGCTCTGAAGCTCAGAGTGCCTCTCACAAGGTGGAAGTTTCAAGATCTTTTCTATACTCTTAAATGCACTTCCTAGAGGATGCCTGTGTATATGCAAGCACAAGAGGAATAGTACTTGCAGAGAGTAAACATGAGACAGTGATAATGCAAAGATATATTGGGTGCACCTGAATGGCTTTTTTTCTTTCTTTCTTTCCTATCTAATATACATAACTTTTTTCCCCACTCAGATGCCACTATAGCTGTTTTCAAAAAAGACATTTTTTAATGTGTGGTTTTTATAGCTTTGAGGAGCGTGTAGTTACTGGCATTTATACAGCTGGCTTTCATTTGAAGGAATACTCAGGATATCTGCCTATTTTTTAGTCTGAGGATGTATAGTGATCTGTTCAGTCCGTGTGTCCACTTGTAGGCATGTCCTGTCTCATCAGTGTGCAAAGTAAACAACTACTGGGAAAAGGAAAGTTGCCAAGTTGACTGACTTTTGAGTACATTTGGAGAGGAGCTTGTGGTTTGCCTTCTACCTGGCAGCAGCAAGGATGGGTTAGTTGGTAAAACTGGCATCCCAAAGCACAGCAGAGAAGTCATCCAGATCCCTGAAACCACCCATCACCAGAGTTTCCCCTCCTGCCAGCAACATCAACAGAAGCTGTGGAAAACAGTCCAGGGAGAACAGACTTTAGTGAGCTGTAGTTGTCTTGGTTATATTTTTGAGCACTCACACTGTTTGCCCTTGTGTGTTTTTCCTCCCCCTAATAACTGTTGAGCATACTGAGCAATATTTTAGTTGAGAGCAGGGTTTTCAACCAAATCTTGTGTTTTCCACTGGTTGTGGAAAATCAGTAGCTGATTATTGAAGAGAGCATGAATTATTGAAGGAAAAGGTGCACTAGGACCCAAGCAGACATCTACACATTTGGACTTGCTGTCACCTGTTTGTCATACATGTATCATCATCACATAGTCCTCGCCAGACAGTAAGTGTGTACAGCTTAGCTGTTTGAGGGACCCAAAGGCCAGGCAGCGTGTATGTAGCTCAAATGCCAAAGTGTGAGATACTGGCTGAAGAGGAGGAGAGCTGAAGCCAGGAAAAGAAGGAGGTCCTAGTAGAAGACCTTGAAGTTATGACACTGAAGCAAAGAACATAAATCCAGGCCATACCAGTGCTACTGCTTTTTTTCTTCTTGCTATCATTCAGCTGTTTTGGGATCAGTCTTATTTACAGTGTAGCTTTGTGTTAAATGGCAGCATCAGGATTCAGTAACAAAACCATAAGACAATCTGAGGATCACCCTCCATGCCCCACTTCCCTTTCTGCACACACATCCTGCACAGGACTGCGTTCTCCTTGACATCACAGTGCTTGCAGTGTTCGTGAGACATGGCGGGAGAAAGGCCTCTGTGCTGAGCAGCAGCCAGGACTGCTTCCATGGAGGGCCCAACACCTGGAAGGGTCTCTTTTGTCTCAGCAGCAGCCTAATTTGTTCCTTTTCATCTTGTGGTCCTGTTGTCTCTGAATGCCTGGTATTCCTTCTTCCTCTCTCTCTCCCCCTGCCCCTCCCATGATGAATGAATGCTGTTCTGATGTGTGGAGGCTCAATGTGTCTGTGTCTGCATCATTAAACTCCGAAGTGCCTGAGAATGTTCCTGAGCACTGGGACACTATTGTCTGCCCTGTTAATAAGCTCATAGACCCTTCCCTGGCATGCACTCAACCCATACTAGATTGTCCACTGGAAATCCCCCAAAGAACCCTCAGGCAGGGCTGGGGATTAGAAACTTCCAAAGGCACCCACTTTTCCACAGGATTCCATTTCCCTGCAGCTGTTCCATATTGAAGGCTGATAGACATTGCTAGCACAGGCCACACATAGTGTGCCAGATGCCTTCAATGGCTAGGAACATTTCTGAGCACAGTTTGCTAGCCTGGACTTATACCAGAACTTAGGTGAGCTTGGAAGTGTGTGCCCAACCTCATACATGCTATGTAAAACTCTGTCACAGGAAAAGGAAGGCATCAAGCCTTTGAAAAAAATCAGCCCTGTTCTAGCCCTACTCCCTACATTTGTAGAAACTACTGTAACTACTGTGCAAACCAGTACCTGTCCCATCCTTGAAAACCTGGGCAAACTAGTGTAACTCCACTGATTGTCAGTGCTGCAGAATGAACTGGTGGTTTTTTTCCCTTTGCAGTTCGAACATGTCCCAAACTTCAGGCTCCTGAAAATGGCCACATTAATTGTTCAACGGCTGATATCTCCTATAAGACAATATGTTATGTGACATGCAACGAGGGCTATGAAATAGATGGAAATACCAAACTGACCTGCCAGGGAACCTCACAGTGGGATTCAAAGGAGCCAAAGTGTGTGGGTAGGTATCTGATCACATTCTGTCTGTTCCTGTCAGAGTGTAGCCTTTTCTGACATGCTGTCATGAGTGAGAAACTCTCCCTATTTTAATATCCAGTGAAGCTAAGGTAGGAATGAGGATTTGTCTATGGATGTTTTATACAGGTTTTAGAAGTTGGAGTGGGGCAAAGGAATTTGTAAATGGAGAAAGTGGACAGATTATCATTGAAATCCAGTACAGACAGCTGATAACTAAGATTGTTGCATCTGGTGAGTGTTAAGACACTGTCACACAATGTGTTACAGGAAACATGAAAGTTGTAGGTCTATACTATGGATTATATGTGAACAACCAGGGGTTTGAGTTACCATCTTAAAGCTAAAGATGACCTCTGGACAACGACTAAGATATGTTAGCCAGGCACTGTGAGTGCTGTGTGGAGATGTGGCAGTTGTCACTTTTGCTGAACTCCCAGCAGGAAGTAGGAGTTCAGTTCAGTTAGGGACCAAGCACCTCTAAGTCAGGATTCAGAGGTCACACCAGCTGTGCAGAGATAGGTAAGCATATATTGCTGTTCCAGAAATAAAGGACTGTAGATTTCAGAAGTACCCATTTAGTACTAGTGGTAGGTATTAAATTAACTTAGAAAGGTAAGAGGAAGAAACACAGGTGAAACACTTCCAAGGATAGACGGCAGAAAAAAAGCACAATCTTAAAAGTCCAGCAATTCAGCAGCTGATCCAGTGCTGACTAAAGTCAAGATGAAGTATATGTCACCTGGGTCCAGTAAATGTGATGCCAGTAGAGTGACTTGGCTTGAACCTCTGGCTATTTTTTACTGTTTTACTGCAGGCTTAAGAAAGCAGACTTTGTGTCAGACAAGAATAAATTTTGAACTGTAGATATGTTCTCTAAAATGATGAAAATAATCCATGAGTATTAATTTATCAAGAGAGTTTTTTTACGAGATCCTAATCTTTCTTCTGTTGAAGTCACTGGAAAAACTTCAATTAACTTCAAAAGGAAAGGACCCTGAAATCCTGTTGGAAGATTATAATTGGAAGATTAACTATATTCATCACTTGAATTCATCCTTCCTAGCTTAGCATTTTGATTATTAAAATTCAGCTCTACTCTGTATCAGAAGATTTCTTCACACCATGCAATATTGCCTGCATTCCTGGATTACCCATGGCAATAGCTTATTTTTGCTGAGTCTGAAAATCTAGTATAAAAGTAACCTTTGATTGGCACAAAGAGTGTTAGCTGGAAAACGTCTCTGCTGCTTCTTCTTGTGACTGGTGTTTAGAACAAGCTTGCTGAGATTGTTGTTCAATATAGATGTGTGGAGTTTTATTCAGAGAAGGATGCAAATCAGAAGACTTAATATCGTGTCCTCAAAAACTACTGTTTGTACTCATTTTCTGAATGCTCATCATTATCATGGAGGTATTCTCCATTTATTTTTAGTCTAAACAGCTCCGAGTTATTATTTATCATCTGCTGTGTAAAAGATACCAGAAATCCTGCTGTATTTAGGCATTTGTAATTGATGATTTATTAATTTCCTATCCTTCTGTTAGAAAAATTAACCTGAACTGGGTTCAGTCTCTTACCTTGAAACGAATTTCCTGGACCTCAGGATACTATCCTAGTTCTTTTTTTGAATGCTTTTCAGTTTGAGTGCACATCGGGGCAAAGTTTACCATATTTAAAAGTTAACTTACTGAGGCTATGCTACAACCTTCTGTAACTATAATTGACACTGTACCATAACATAGCTTGGATTGTTTACAGTCACTTCTGTGAGGTCTGTTGTCATATGCATCTTTTTTGAAGAGACTGGAAGTTAATGCAAGTTTGGCTATTACATATGTTTTAAATTTTTGCATTTTTCATGAAAGGTGCTGTTAGCAATGACTTACTTTTGAGTAAGTTACATAAATTATAGATGGCTTACAAACACTATCTGCTGAAAAGGGAAGCTTCGTCATTTGTCCAATTTGAAAAAAAAATTTCCACATTCATTTTCTTGTGTTTCATTCTCCATTGGCCAAAGATTAATATCCAGCACGTTAAAATTAATGAATTTTGCAAGATGCCCCTCTCCTTGCTTTGTTCAAGTTTTAGTGGAGAAAGGTAAGAACACAGATGGTATCCAGTGTGTTGATGCCACCTAGTGTTGAAAGAATTACTACCCCAGATTTCTAAATGCAGTTGGCCAATTCTTTCCCTGAAACATTGTGTTTGCAAAGGGGTTTAAAGAAAGAGGCATGATTTGCTTGGTAATATTTTCATTTGTTACAATATTGAAGTTCCTCTTGATGTTGAGAATTATAATACAGTGTTGTGGTTCATCACAGGCAGTTGCAGATGAAAGCAGATTCTTGCTTCTCCTTAGAAGTACTTTTTTCCTCTTTCTCTGTTAATTCCCTATCCACATGACTAATATCATGGATTATCGCTCTGCTCCTCATGAAATCCAGTCTTCCTGGGTCTAGCTTGATCAAATTCTGGAACTGAGCGCAGATAAAAAAGCTAAACAACACTATTACTGTTTTTTTCCTATTAAAAACCTGTCCCACTTAGAAGAGATTCCCTCAGGTTAAGTATACCAAAGGTTATCCTGAATGTTGGTCAGGTGTTTCGGGATTGTGCTCTACTAGGATTTTGCTAGTACAGCTGGAAGCATCTCAACGAGGAGGGCTTTTAATGCTTCCTGAAGAGCTGCAGTTTTCTCTGCTTTTCATGCTTACATCTTTCACAGCCTTCCTTCTACTTGTTCACTGAGTAGTATACATTTTAATGCTTTTAACTTGTCTTTTCAAACACTGTTTTCCGAAGTTCTGATCTTTCTGGTATTTGTCAGTTACCTTCCTGTGGTGAGCAACCAAAAGTTAGGGCTTGGGGTTTTTTTTCTGGTGAGGTTGTTTTACATTGCATAGCCAACAGTGTGTGCCTGAAGTAAACAAATGTGTTAACATTTGTGATCTTTGCATTCTCTTGAAATGAAGTGTAGTAATTAATTGCTTGAAGTTTAATCACAATTTTGGTATTGAGAGTTTAAAGGGCAGGAAATACTTAGAACACTTAGACTCTTTAAATTTTGTTTCATGCAGAAGAACCAGTTTTCAGTTACTCGCTGCGTATTTTGGGAGAGGAGAAGAAAGGGATATGAAGTGTTCTGAATGTGAATCATTTCTGCATCATTAAACCATTGCTAAGAGATGAACAGAGCTTTCCCTTCTGCAGCTCCGTTGTGTTGTTCTTTGTGTACCCTTTGTGTAAAGACCTGTCTGCTTTCATCAGCTAAAGAGTTAGAAGTCTTCTCATTGGCAATATATAATGAAGCATTTTTCTTGTGTGTGTATTATCTGTTTTAAGAAATGTTACTAAAAGTCTACGAACTGCATTCATGGGATACCCCTTTTTGCCCTGTTCATTAATGCCTCCTTGTTTGAAGTAAAAATAACATGACTTGCCTGACATGGTAAAAACAATAGTTCAAAAATGAAACAAAGCTGTTGTGACAATTGAACCTGTTTATGCACATTGTGGTTTTTGGAAGTTTACACTTCGATGCAAATGGTCTTGAGAATTTGTAGTGAATTCTAGTAATAAAATAGTTGAAAACTTCTGCTTTAAGCATTTAAGCAACCATCAGGCCTTCCTGACTTTACAGAGAAAGTCAGCTGCCACTTATGGTCACCCTGAGTCTTTGCATCTGGGTTTGGACGCAGTCAAGACCAAGCCCAATTTCATTCAGTTTGGAATGTGGTAGGCAAAATCACATGCCATATCCCTAACCTACACTGAGCTCATGGCAGGGTGTCCTTTTTCTTTTCTCATTCTTATTTCAAAAGACAGTGTAAAAGATATAGAAGATAACAGATACAAGACTATTACCTCTGTCATGCTATGAAGATCTGGTTTCCATAGAAGGCAATGGAATGCAGCTGCAAAGCAACCATGAAAGGTGAAGTGGTAAAGGGGGAAAAAAAAAAAGAGAGAGAGAGTAAGATATAGTGGAGCTGCATGAAAAATACCATATTTTTGTACCAGTGAAAATTATGAGCAACAAAATGGAAGACCTGATATTCTGGGTGCTGTTTACTTCAGTCAGCACTGGAGTACAAAGCTTCAGCAGGTCTTACTGTTTTGAAGCACTCATAGCACATGGAGAGTCTTAAAAAGTCTACGTATTTTGTGTTCCCTCTGAGTTGCTATGTGACTTTATTTGCAGATTTTTTTGCATGTATACTTTGTGTATGTCAGTTAAAAGACATGTCCTGCTGGTCTCTTGTAGAAATGCGTTGCCCCATCCTCCAGAAACCAGCAGGCATAACAGTTCTCCCTCCCAGATGCGGGCTGGAGCCTGCCGTTTCTGGGACTGTGTGCCAGCTGATCTGTCCCAAAGGATTCATCTTGTCTGGAGCTAGAGAAGAAGTAAGGTGCATTTCATTTGGGAGATGGAGTGCAAACATCGAAGAGGCTCTGTGTAAAGGTAGAGACCACAAAATAATTTCTGTGTACACATGTGTGCAGGATTGAAGGGAAGCACACAGCAAATAACTGAGTGAGGACAGGTTTGAACTGAAGAAAGCATGATTTAGTCTGTAAGAAGTGTTGCCTGTACCAGTATAGCTTGGCTGTCCAATTTACTTGTAGTTTATGATAAGAATGTAGAGTTCAGAGATTGCTTGAGTGCCACCTTATAGTCCTCATCATCAACTGTCTCTCCTGCGATCCATCTCATAAGTCTGTTGTTGGGAAGCTGCCTGCTAAAAGGCCTGATGTGCAGGTAAATTTGAAATTTCAGAGTAGAAGCAAAAGCTCTTAGCTTAAAGATAGTCAAAGTGGAACCCACACTTCTAGTAAAACTACAATGATAATAATACTGTTACTGGTTTAGCAGAGGTTTATCTAAGCCCTGTAGTCAGAGCAAATCTGTAAAGGCTGTGTAAACCCTGGCTGATAGACAGGTTATAGAGGGATGGTTCATTTCAGTTGTCTTTGAACTGATTATGGCTGTTGACATGGCCTGAGCAACAGTGCACAAGAGTTAAAGCCAAAATTGGCTGACACAAGTGCACGGAGTATAAAGATGGGCAGAAGATGGGAACTTGTTTCTCTGTAATGGCCAGGAAGATTTTATCCCTCTTTTTAAACATAATATTTCCCACTCTGTGATGTACCACATTGTTTTTCTGAATCTTTTGTGTAAACCTGTGCCAAACCACAGTTTTTAATATTTGATGGGATCCCAGCACAAGGCTACAAGCTGAAGTGTTTGGATCAAGATAAAGCAGCATGGCTTGGGTTTTCAAGCTTTTAGATATTACCAGTGCATAAAACCCTAAAATAAGAGGCACCAAGAAACTCTGAAGGTTATTCTTCTCTAGTAAAAATGAACAGTTGCATTTAAATTGCTTTCATTCTTGTTATCTCTCTCTATCTTGCTGCTAACATATTTGGCCAGTTCAAAATAGCCATTTTATTTCTGACTTATTTATTAGTCTTTTTACAGAATTTCACTTTTCAATGGAATCTGCCCCAGCCTGAAGGCTGTGGTCAGGGGATTGTGAACCATGACTGGTAGTTATTTAAAAGAGTGCATTTCTAATAAAATTTTCATCAGAATGAGTTCAGAGGAAGGCAAAATCACTTGTATTTATTGCTTTGCACTCTTAATTACAGAAGTTTAATTGCCTGAGTTACATCTTTACTGGAACTATTCAGTAATAAAAATATAAGTGATATCAGTTCTGAGTTGTTTTAAAGCCTCCTGGGCATAGATGAGTTCAGAGCTGAATGCATCCTTGTCTCATGAGTCGAGAGACCATTTATCAAGCGACATTACAGCAATAAAATAACCTGACCACAAATGTTTTGGGAGGCCCTGTGCCAGGGAAATGAAGTACTTTAAGTTTGTCAGAGAAACTTGAGTCTTAAATCTTGGTGGTGATGTTACCTATGTTGTATCACCAGTCCTTTGAAACCATCCAGCATTGTCACATAGGTCACAAGAAGACTCAATTTGTCCTACGTAATACCTTGTAACAGGAGTTTTATTAAGGAACATTTCCAGCAGCTACTGCCAGAAATCTTGCTATTGTTTCTTTCAAGTCAGTTCCACACCACACTCCAGGGAATTTCAAAGTCACTACTCTTGTTCATAGTACGTATTACATGTCACAAACACTTTTCTTTTTTTAAGTCACTGATCATTATAAACAAATGTTTTCATTTGTATGTGTCATCTGTGGGCAGCGAAAGGACGAAGAAGCCATTCCTTCTTAATGAGTATTCTTGTGCAATGAAGGGATGAATAATAAGAGAAACAAATTCCTTCTGTCTTACTATTCCTTGTTTTATGGTTGCATGTAGAAAACACTCTCATGATGCTCCAAGATGTACAAGAATACAGCAAAAAATAGTCCCTTCCCCACGAGAATTTAATCTTTACGTGTGAGCCTGTAGGCAAGAATTAAAAAGGGTCAGAGACAGGTAGTTTGCAAACATGTACATTTATATTCCAGGCAGCACAAAAACCAGTGGTTATAACAAGTTGCAGTCTAACCATTATAGAGGTTTTATTTCTATAATACCACATATAAAACTAGTTCGTCTTTTTCTGGATCAGATATTGAAGCTCCTCGGATCCACTGTCCAGAAAATATTGAGACTGAGACTCTGGAACATCATAACTCTGCTAATATCAGCTGGCAGGTACCAACAGCTGAGGATAACTCTGGAGATGAGGCAAGTTAAAATCTATACATTTGACTGGAGGCAGTCTTTCTATAGCTAGCTATTTCAAATTAATTTTATGATCCACTAGAATTTCTTTCTTCTAATAAGCAGGAGTAGAAGAAGAATCTGCTGAAAAGTTTGTGTCTTGAGAATTCAGCATTTTCTGTCTTGGTTAGGGTTATGGGGTCACAGGACACTGCATGGTGTTTTAAGTGCATAAAATCTCATATGGTTAATTTATGTGGTCAAAAGAAAGAATGTGCCCTTGTTTATAAGATGGTGACAGCTGCTTTAAAAATGAGCTCTTAGAATGTGAAGAAGTTTAATAAACTCTTCTCAGAAGGAAGTAAACGAGTTCATTAATCTAAAAGGCTAACAAGAACACACTGTCATAAGTAAAAACTGCTTTCATCTTCCCAAGTGAGAAAGAAAAATTTTATTTTCCTATCTAATGCAAGGTTCAGACGTGGGCCTTTGGCTACTATGGGTATCAGAGGTCTGGAAATGGAGTTACAAGAAAAACTTGCTCCAGGGCTGTTTCATGAAGAGTAACATTCCCTACAGGCTCAGACATGATCAAGTTACAGCAACTGAATGCTTTATCATGAGTCAGCAAAGGAACAGTGACTCTGTGTGTGATTTTAGTTTGCTGCAAACACAGGAGTTTTTTGCACTTGGAAGCTGTGAGCTATTCCAGTAAAAGACGTTTAAGTTCACACATTTTCTGCTGTAGCATAGCCATGGTCAGGTACTGTAGCTCTGCTGACACAGGGTCATTCAGTGAACTGTAGAAATCAAGCACCTTAGCTCTTAGTTGTAGCTGGTTTGTAGCCATAGTTGTCAGATAAACTGCTTTGTTCACGTGAAAACAGTTCTTTTAAAGAGAAGTTCTTAAGACCATTCTAACCCATATGAAATAGTCGTAGCCAGCATGAAAGTGTCGTTTACTCCAAATGTAGGATTCCTTTGCTGTGCCAGAATGTTTTGAAGCATCTGTGGGCTATTGACTCATAAACATATGTAGATTAAAACTGGATATGTAAGTACTTATAGTCCGCAACTCCACTCATCTGCCAGGTCTGCTGCCCTTGCTGCTGGAGAGCTGAACTGCAGACAAAGCAGGTTCTGAGCTGGCGTAGTGTGCGTTCAGTGCAGAGAGTGAAATATGAAAGAGAATATTTCCCAAATATAAGAGTCAGTCTTAACTTTTCTTAATGTACAGTGCTGTGTAGTGCAGCAGGTCAGGGTCCAAATCCTGACTGAATAAATCCCTGTTGTTATAAAGGAGGCAGTATTGAGAAGGGGAGCAGAGCACTTTGTTGTGAAGTCCACCCTCATTGCTTGAAGAGGCTCTTTGCATTAAGAATGAGTAGGCTTGACATTGAAGGATACTGTTTTGTGGCCATTTCTTTAAATATGAATGTCGTGATTACTGACCAACTTTGTTTTTTAAATAACAAGTGTTTTCCTATAAAAGGTCTCAGTTCACGTTACCCCAGCTTTCATACCACCATTTCTTCTCCCAATTGGTGAAGTTGCCATTACATACACAGCGACTGATAAGTCGGGCAATGAGGCAAGCTGTGTGTTCAGTGTCAAGGTTATTGGTAAGTGCTGGTAAAAATCATTCTGCAAGAGTCTGTCTTGGTCGTCTTGATTCTAATTTTGTGCAGAAACAGACTGAGGCCTTTATGTGTGCAGGTATAAGCCCAGGAGTAAGATCATCTTTGTAAATGCTTTGCTGATCTTGGGTCACAGTTTGCGTAGCGTGCAGTCATTGCTCCCAGATGTTCAGTTTGGGTTGTGTTTTGTTCTGCTGTTCATTCTGAATGTTAATATTTCTCATCACACTGGTAGATTAAATGCTTTATTTTGTTGTCACTTATTGCCTTCATATATATAATTTTTTTTTCTTCTTGAAAGACTCCAACAAAATTTCCAAGGTTTCTGCACATTGCTGATGTAAATCATTGTTCAAGTATTTCTGTCAGACAGTTGTGTTATTCAGCAGTCCTGTTGAACAAGGTTTGCTCTGTAGAAAGTAAACAGAACACAGAAAACACAAGTTCAGAGGAAGAATTAGTCTTGTGCATTCCCTGAGCATCTACCAGTTGCAGCAGCTTACAAGTGTGCACCTAACTTTGTTGTATCTTCTGATGTGAACTTAAAACTGCTGTTTACTTGACTTCTGGTTATAGATTTTATTTCAGTGCAGTGGCAGTTCAGTAAGCTAATGTCATGCCATCTCTTCAAATTCTGCAGATGCAGAACCTCCTGTAATTGATAGATGCAGATCACCACCACCCATGCAAGCAGTAGAGAATGAGTACCCAGCAACATGGGAAGAACCACAATTTTCAGACAATTCAGGTGAGATAGGGCACCCCAAAACATGCATGGAACAGTGGAAGGCTAGGTAACTCCAACCTGTTCAGCCTTAATCACTTGGAGTTTAGGAATTTTTGAGGGTTTTTTTACTTACTTATTTTTAAGAACACATGATTTGGAAGACGTGCTACCATTTCCTTCTCCATTTGTCAAGGTTGGATGTAAGCATCCCTGTTTTACTTGTCACTGTTTTAGATTGTCTTTTAACTCTTCTAGGTGCTCCACTGACTGTCACTAGGAGTCATGCACCTGGAGATCTCTTTCCCAAAGGAGAAACAACAGTTCAATACACAGCCGTGGATCCCTCTGGCAATAACAGGACATGTGAGATCCACATTGTCATCAAAGGTTTGTTGTCTTAATCCTCTGATCAAGACTGTATGCGTTGTTTTAACTGAATATCATAAAAGTTGCAATGCTACTCCTACTTTTTCATTTAGTCTCCACTTTTTTAGTTATTCCCGTTTTATATTGGAGTAACTTGAAGGTACTCAGGATATTTGTTAGTACCAGCAAATAAATTGTCTAAGACTGAAGCAGCACAGCCTTGGATTTGGTCCTATAAATTCAGATTAGGTGTAAAAGCACTGAAATTATGATTCATCAAACACTAAAACTTATGGTAATGGATCCATTTTTTTCTCAGTGACAGATACAATGTGAAATGAATTAATAAATGTTACTGAAGTCTTACTTCAAATCTGTAGTTAAAAAGAAAATTTATGGAAATATTTCTGTAATCAACTACAAATACTGTAGCAGATACTAGAACACTCTTTAGATTTTAGAAGCTGTCTGTACCTATAGATACACTGGTGCATTTGTATTTATTGCATAGAAACCTTTTCCCCACCGTTCACTTTCTTCTTTAAAGGCCAAACACTAATTTGGCAGATAAAGTATTAAGGATAAAAATTCTATTTCATCTCTGCTGTCTAGTGCTTATGTCTCAGTTGGACATCTGTATAATAAAATGTGTTAGTGAAGAGAGAATTTAAAATCATGCAGAATCTTGGTTATAGCTTTTAGAAAAGGTAAGTTGCAGATGGATGTCCTATTTTCTGATTTGCGGTAAATCTTAGCAAGAAAAAGCCAGCGCTTAGAATTGACATTATTTCAAGTTCTACACTTTTTGTGGTTGAATGTTTGTGACAATCATTCACAATCTCCTTCACAATTGGCCTGTAAAATAGATCATAACTGAAGTTTTACAGCCAGTCCCTCCAAAGATGAATCCAACAAGTGAATATGTTGTTGCAATAGTGCAGAATGGATAATGTTTGGTTTCAGAATTCAGGATGTAATGTAGTTTACTAGAATTCATTGTATGAAAGTTCATGTAAAAATTTAGATTAATATTTTGTATTATTTTAGCAAGCACGTGCTTGAGGATGCACCTTTGCAGAAGAAGTACAGAAGGGCTTGGGTCTTGCTTTTCTGAGTTGTTTTAATTTCTCATATATATCATGAATTTTTTTAAGTCTTCACATTTCTAGATTTCAAATTTCAGTGGCAGAGTTTGAGAAGAATTTCGCAGTAGCCTGATCCTGCCTTTATGGAAGTAGCAAGTAATACTTCCACAGACTTCAGCAAAGGCGAGATCAGGTTGATACTGGGTACTTTGGAAATCCTATCAGTGCTGTTTTCCTGTGTGCTTACTTACTTCACCACATGCATCAGTATGTAAATCTTTGTATTTTTCCTAGGTTCTCCCTGTGAAATCTCCTTTGAGCCTGTGAATGGTGATTTTACATGCACATCAGATGAAGCAGGAGTTAATTGCACATTGCACTGTGCAGAGGGTTATAGTTTTTCAGAAGGATCAAGTGAGAACTACTATTGTGCATATGAGGATGGTGTCTGGAAGCCACCTTATTCACCAAAGTGGCCTGGCTGCTCTTGTAAGTCTTAGTGTTACTAAAATGAATCTGCAGCTCATCAAACACTATGTTTAATGAGGAAGTAAATGAAAATATTTTAGAAATTATGACTTCTGTTTTATGATAACAAATCTTCTCCATCCTCTACCTCCAAATTGTTACAAATATTGTGAAAGAATGCCTGGAAGTCCCTAAATGTGTTATTTCAGAAGCTGTCTAAAACACAAAAATAGCAGTGAATTTGAATCCTGGGAATCACAAAATAGCAAAGATGGCAAAGTAGACAAGGTCTGTCATTATTTTGAATTGTTATTTGAAACAGTTTGTTTACAAACAATATCGATGTCTTTCAAGAGGAATTTCAACAGTATTTGCAACTTCTTGATCCAAATGCACAGTGCATGCTGTATTTACATATCTAATTATCACCAAATCAGAAGCGTTTATGTATTTTCTTTCAGATGGACACATGCAAAACTTCAGCCGTGGAATTTCCCAGCTTTGGTGACATTTTAATAATAAATATATTAGAGCTACATATGAAGCCAGTCTTGGCACCATGTTGCATCCACTTCCATCACAGTGGATTTCTTGGTTTCAGCAAACGAGAGCAGGGTTTCAGCTATGAGCAAATGAGAGTTGTGTTTCAGAGCTATCTATCAGTTCAATGTCTGTAACTTGGACAGTTAGAAAGTCTGATTTGCTTACATTCTGGATGAGAATTTTTCATATTTAGCCTAACAGCATTAGTAATAGAACTTTTAATATTGCTTCTCACTCAGTAAAAAGTACAGTTTGATTGACAGCTCACAGGTTTCTTCCATGAGGAAAATGCTGAAACAGATAAATGACAGACCTTTTTTTAATGTCTGTTAGCTTTCCCAATAAATTTGATGCCTGCCAAAGGATCATATTCAGCTGCATTGGCTGAGGTACGAGTGATCCATTTTCATATATACAACACTGGGAAATTAGGTTGCTAAAGACAATGCTTCTTAGCTTAGTGTATTCCAGTTTTAGCCTGAATGATCTTGCTTTTACCTCTGAAACTCTTGCAATGACCAGTAAAAATTTATTTCTCCAACATTTTTCAGTAAATCGTTTTGCAAACCATGGGTTCAAATCCTTTGAGATGTTCTACAAAGCAACACAATGTGATGACAACAGTCTTCTAAATAGCTTTACTGATGCATTCCAGAGTGCGCTTGGTAAAATGGTAGGTTAGTAAATACTCCTTGCTTTTACATACTTTTAAAAAATGTACCTCGTTGTTACTTTTCCCAGCTAACTAATTTCATAAAAGGAAAATACATCAGAAACCTGTAAATGAAATTTATGCTTTTTCAGAAGATGAAAAGTCTCCTTTAAAAATAAAGATAATTCACTGGCATTTTAATGTAATTCAGTTCAGTCTTCAATGTGGCATTATATAAGACAGAATTTATAGAAGTGTCCAAGTAGCTTAGGGACCTGGCACTCAGCTTTTCAGTAGGCTTCCAAACAGAACCTGTGCAGTTTTGAAAACCCTAACCTCAGAGTTGTTTTTGAAAGTTGGATGTGATTATAAATTACATGTATTTTATTGAGAATATGTATAACATCTATCCATATAATATAAATGAATATAAACGTATACAAATAGATAAACTCTCCATTCGGTGCCTAAGTCCAGGCACTTAAATCCAGAAGCAGTGATTTAAATAATTTTTTCAGGTTTCTTGAGTTTCTGAATTCTCACTCTTATCATTAAGAGCTGCATGGCGCTGAATTTGAAGCAGTAGCATGTTCCTTCTCTACTGTGTCTCTTGCCTTCTGGTTCAGTGTCACAGTCTCCCCTCTTAATCCACAGGTCTGTCCTCAGCTGCAAAGCAGAAGCAGTAGGAGTTTGAGTTGTAGTCTCAGGAGTGGATGTCCAGGCCTACTGTGGTAGCATTGTGCCAGAAGAGAACACTGGGCATTTACAGATTTTTTGCAGGACAAGTTCCATATGCTAAAAGCTTTTCTATTAACTAAAAAGCATTATTAGCATATAAAGCTAATGGGCAAACTCCTGCAGCTTTGGAATATATATTAGTAGCCCTTGTCGAATGACTCAGAAATTATATAACACTTCAGGCAATCTCTGACCTGACACTTGGATCTAAATATCTGTTGCTCTCTTGCCTTGCTTCAGATTTGTTCTCTTCCAGTAGAGCAATCTTGGCTGGTTTTATTTCTGTTCCTTTTCCATAAGAGCCAGCTACCACCAGGTGACAGTGCTTAGACTGTTACTATCGGCAAGCAAAAGATAATAAGGAAAAAATGCTTAGTGACCTGCTCAAGCAGTTACATCAAAATGCAACAATCTGGCAAAACAGTCAAAAAGGCTGTTTTGAATATGCCTATTCCTATTCCCAAGAATTTGAAATTCTAGCAGAGATATGAAAAGGGGGGAGGAATCAGCAGGAGCTATCTCTTCAATGAAAATTGATATGGAAAAAGCAAAGCAATTCCAAAACATGGCCTAGAGACCAACTTGCTTGACACCTTTCTGGAAAAAGCAAGAAGTAACACATTTTATCAAAAATCATGCATTGGTCTATTCTTCTCTAATCTCCACTGCTTTTGTGGAGAGAAGAAATCAACAATACCAGAAAGGTTTCTGTTGAGTATTCTGTTCTGTAGTTTCTGTCCTTCTCAGATTTACCCTGTCATCTGAGGTCTCTTGGTGGAATGCACAAGTCCCTTTCCATTGGTAGGGAGAGGTGGGAGTGAAGAATGGGTGACAGCACTGTTGTAAACCTGACAGAATTACAACTTACATAGCTGGAAAAACCACAGATGTTTTCAAATGTGTGAGTTCTCCTGTCATCTTCAGCAGGGAGAAACAAGCTTGAACTTCTTTCTGTATTTTGGGATTTCACATGGAAGAGCAGTTAACTAAATGGACATCTTTTATAAAAACATCTTCTATAACAAAGAGCTTGTATGCGTACAAGTCGTCGTTTTACTTCCTAGCTGTATCAATAGAATGTACTTCTTTTAGCAGACTTTACCAAGGTTATAGGAGACATGAAAGGGGAAATCCAGTGTCACTGACAGGACCAGGGCTTTCCATTGTAACTAGAATTTTTTGTAAGTCAGGGGAGGAGGCTATGTGGTTTTATTTTCTTAATCTTGTTCTTTATGTTGGAAGGTCCCATCGTTCTGTAATGATGTTGATGATATCGACTGCAGATTGGAAGATCAGACACAGAAACATTGCTTGGAATATAATTATGATTACGAAAATGGATTTGCCATTGGTAATTATCGATTCTATAGATTCTTAGCCATCCAAGTTTAACACAGTGTAACTCCTTTTGTTCTCAAGCATGCGATATGTTGTGTGAGGTATTTTTTTTAAATAGCTATAGAGCTCTTAAGATAGTAAGCAAGTACATAATAGGCTTTATAACAGTATTATGGAACTGTTTGCTGTCTGGTTTTGATACTGCTTCCTATATAGTGTAGAGGAAAGTTTACTGAGATGCTTCATGATGTGGAGGGGGAAAAAAGCACACACACTGAGAGTCCTACAAACCTGCTTGGTTAGCCTGGAAGAAAATAACTTTTTAAAAGCATACAGTTTCAAACCAAAATACTGAGAAAGTACAATAGATGGTTCTGGAGATTGTTAAGAAAATGAGGAGCATCCTTGATGCTGGTTCAGATCAGCACAGAACCCTCACCATGTAAAGCTATACAAGCTTAGTTTGCCCATTAGCTGTGAAATTACTTCCTACATGCAAGGGCAGATTTTGAAGAATGACTGTAGCTGTATCAGTGTGAAAGCTGGGACAGTCCTAGTGATTGTTCCTGCTTTGCTTTATGCCAAGTTAGTTGTCCTTTTCAGTCCATTTTCAAACAGGTTAGTGTCCATGTTGTACTGCTGTTGTCCTTGTCATTTCAGAGTCCCATGGGGGTGCTGGGAGCACAAAGGCTAAAAACATAATTTACATTAGCTGTCTTATTAGGAGGCATTTTAGCAGATCAACATCAGAATACATACTCTTGTCATAGGACTGTGGCTCTTTTACAGTTTTGTAGTGGAATTACTTGGTAGAGTTTCCTGCTTATTCTCACTTTTTAGACATGCTTCACCGAGTTTGAGAGTGCATTTGTTTGTAATTAGACATGGCGTGGCAGGTCTGGGTGTTCCATTTGCAGTTGTCAGCAGGGTAAGGATGAATACTGATGACAGTTGCAGCCGACTTGTAAAGGCACTTGGAGGAAACAGTGTTGAGGACATAGGATGTAGGGTCCTATTCTCTTCTGGTTCATGTCAACCTCTTATCAGAATAACCTTGTTGCTGTTTTTATGGAGTTTCTTGTGATATTACACTGGGGAGGCAGGAGAGAACTCTCTTCATGTCATAAGACATAGCATTTTAGAAAACTAGTTGTGGAATACTCACATGGTATTAACCACAAAGCTGTGGGGTTAATTTGTCCTAGTTTCCACTGTAAATTAATCTAGGTGACTGCTAACAGGTAATTGGCAGAATTTTTTTCTATCTCCATGTTTTTTAAAAAAGGGCTAGATCAATGAAATAGACCATGAACCTCTAGATTTAGTCATTATGAAAAGGTAGATTATATACAGAAACAATTGTTTAATTGTTTATGGTTGAAAGCATGTTATAGGTGGAGGACATTATACAGAAGGTGAATTTGACTCACTATGTGTGACAGGAAATGCCTTTCTTGGGGGTATAAACACATAAGGTGATGTTACCAGCTGCTTCTGAGAGGTCAGATGATGGCAGAACTATTCAGCAGTTGTAAGAAGATGCAATGGAGACACATGGCATAGGCCGTGTCTGTGATTGAGCAGGAAGAGGAAGAGAGCAATATGGAACTATTTAAGATGATGTGGCTGACAGGTGAGGATCCATGCAAGTCAGGGGAAGAGAAAGAATTGTGACATGTAACTTTTATAGCAGTATATCTTTAAAGCCTTGGCTAACTGCACAAGATTCAGGATCTCTAGGATATTAGCTGGGAGTGAGACTGTTTTTTTGTTTTTCTTTGGTCAAAATGCTGGCACAATAGGCACTTGTGCAGAGGCAAAGCAAGCACGCATCGTTTGGAGCTTCAAACAGATCCTCATTCTGTTGAGGATATATTTTAGAAATAAGTACAGGCACTTATTTTCCACAAGTTGTTGCTTCTTTTTTTGTTCTTTCTTAATGCCTTACAGGACCTGCTGGCTGGGGGACAGCAAACCAACTGGATTATTCCTATGGTGATTTTGTTCATGCACCTCAAGAAGAAGACTTATCCAAGCATCTCTCTGCCTCTATGAAGGCAGCACCTGCTCGAGTCAAAAGACATAAGCTGAACGTTCCAATGACTGACCACAAAATCAAGTTAATATTTAACATCACAGGTGAGAGAAGTAAAAATATTGTCCTTCTCCTATTTGTTATTTTTAAAAACATGTTTCTAATACATTCGGTAAAACTTTGCCTACAGTTCACAAAGCCTGCTGGAGATGCAGATGACAGTTTTCTGGAGATATTCATAGCCCCATTTCATTACAGACTTTCTGCTTGGGGGAAGGATCACATCCTCATGTTCATGGAGAGCATTATGCGCACGGCTTGCTATCCACGTTCCACTGGCAAGCTTGAGTGTTGCACTTTTGATATATCCCACAGTACACTGAAAGTGCTGACTGTAAATCTGTGTGCTTTTTGTGTTTTCTGTTTATATCCCAGCTAGTGTGCCCCTGCCTGATGAAAGGAATGATACGTTGGAGCTGGAGAACCAACGACGGCTCCTTAAAACTCTCGAGATGATCACAAACAGGCTGAATAGGACTCTCAATAAGGAACCCATGTATTCTTTTCAGTTTGCATCCGAACTCATTGTAGCTGACAGCAACTCACTGGAGACCGAGAAGGCCTTTCTTTTCTGCAGGCCTGGTTCTGTGCTGAGGGGAAGAATGTGTGGTAAGCAGGATGACTTGCTCCTGACATGTATTTAGAGTCCTTTTGAAAAGCAAAGTTTTAGAGGATGTTTGCAGAGGGTTATGGTTTGACACAGTCCAGTGCTTGTGATCTCCCAGAACAATAAACTGCAAAATGCTTTGCGCAGTTTGACTTACAGAGGATGTTTATGTTCCTAACCAAGGCCTGTGGAAAAAGGATGCTCTTGTGCCCAGGATTCCACTCCCATGGGGAAATCAGGCATATCCACACTTGGTTATACACAGGAAAACAGTACTTGGTATGCAGTCTTTTAACCCTATTAGTCTTGTGGGTGATATGTAGCTAGGATAGGGAATTGGATTCCATTTCCTGTGCACAGTGAGATCTTTGCAGAGTTCCATTTGCTGAGGAACAGAATCACGTTTCACATAAACAGGGTTTAACTAAATGGGAACTCCAGAGGCAAGACAAGTATGTACGATTGTGCACTCTGAGGGGAACTTCGTGTTTCCAATGTTACAGTTAACTGCCCTTTGGGTACATATTACTCCCTGGAGCATCATACCTGTGAAAGCTGCTGGACTGGATCCTACCAAGATGAGGAAGGGCAGCTGGAATGCAAAAGTTGTCCATCTGGTACCTATACTGAGTATCTACACTCTATGAGCATCTCTGAATGCAAAGGTGAGAACTTTGTCTTCTTCAGTCAGCCACTTCTGAATGCTTGGTGGCATCCTTTTGGTCCCCATGGTGGGAGTATTGGAATGAGATTAGCCTATGAAATGAGGAGCAATCCTAACAGCCCCTTGATGCATACATAAAGAGAAAAATCCAGGTTTTCACTACTGCTGTGGCATGCTGGTTGCCTGGACCGATGTTTTAAGAAGAGCTGGCCTTTGAAGCTTTGTTTCGTTTCTGTCTTGAGATTGTGAGCCCATTTTGCAGGGACTAATACACTTAGAATAATGCCATTCTTGCCCTTGCCAGCCCCTCTCCATCCTATCGTGATCAAAGATAAAATGTCTGCATCCTACACAACACTGCTGGGGCATGGAGCACCTCAGCACCACTATCTTTTTGTGACTTGCTCTGAAAAAGAAGTTGCTAGTTTTATTTCCTGTTTGTTGTCTCATAATTTTATTGATTAAAAATGAGTAACTAAGTTGCAATAAATCATCTGTGAAGCTGAATGAAAGAGAATTAACTGGTTAATAAATCACAAATGCACTATCAGTAACTTAAAACATTTCCCCTTTTTTTTTGCTTTTTGTACCCATGAAGTCCTTCAGAGTAGAGTAAACTCTAGAAATAAAGGTCCTTGTGATGTGTATTGTGATTTCAGCATTATTTTCAGAGGTCAGGAACCATGTTTCCTGTTGGACATTGCTTAATCTCTATGAATTCTTCTGCCTTATAGCTCAATGCAAGCAAGGAATGTATTCACCTAATGGTCTTGAGACCTGTGAAACATGTCCACTTGGCACATATCAACCAGCATTTGGATCCAGGAACTGCATCTCTTGCCCGGAAAATACATCAACAGTGAAAAGAGGCACAGTGGATGTCTCAGCTTGTGGAGGTTTGTAACAAAAGGGGCTATGAAATTTTTTTAATTAAATTCTGAAAATTTTTAAATGTTGCTTTAACATCAGCTAATGTCATCCAATTCATTTGCCTGAGATTGAATTCCGCTTCTGATTAAGTGTGGACCAAGCAGCATTTCCCAGCAACATGATAGGTTGTTTCCTGATACTCTGTTTATTTCAAATGCCCCCCTTCTGATTTCCAAGTTGGATCGTATCTAAAGATGAATAAAATGAGATATCTGATGGGTACCTAAATGAAAATAGAAGCTTTCTCCTTACAGAGAAGAAAGAGAATGACAGGATGTTTGTCACTCTTATCTCCGGAGCAGCTTCTACATCTTCTGTACAAAAAATACTGAATTTTAACACAGTTTGTTCCATAACTTTTTTCAAGAAATTGTCCTCAGAGGCCTTTAGGAAGCTTTATCAGAAGGATTCCCGGGGGAAGTAGTCTACAGGGATTAATGGCACAAAGAAGACTTGTCTTTTGTCTTTACTCCTTCTGAAGGAAAAAAAAAAAAACACACCAAAAACAAAACCAGAAAAAAACAGGTGTGAGAGATAAAAGGGAAAGGAAGCTGCATTTGAAAGCTGCCCCCAGAGGAGCAAAAGGAATAGACAGAAATACTTCCCAGATATTTCCATAGTCCTTTGAGAACTACATGTCACCTAACAGCACAATTTAAATAAGCATCTCCTACAATTATGAATTGCTGGCAGGTTTTATCCTACTCCTTTAAGTCTGAGGGACTATGAGGGGAGGAGAGAAAATGATCGGAAAGAGGTGGGAGGAGGTAGGATGGGGGTGCAAATGATCACTCAAAAAAATGTTCTTTTGTTTTTGCAGTACCATGTCTTGCAGGCGAGTTCTCTCGTACGGGTTTGACACCTTGCTACCCTTGTCCCAGAGACTACTATCAGCCAGACCCGGGAAAGTCCTACTGCTTGTCTTGTCCCTTTTATGGAACAACAACTGTCATTGGTGCCAGATCCATCACAGATTGTTCAAGTAAGCCAAATTATCTCACTGAAGAAAGTGAGTAAAGGGAGCATCTAAAGGATGGCCAGCAGTAGTCTTGACAGAAAACATCCCACTTACTTTCCTAACGAATGCAGACCTTTGTTTTCAACCAGTGAAGTTCACAGCTGGTTTTGCCTCCTGGTGTTGCCTCTGTGTTATGTAGGAGTGGCTGTGTGATACATAAAAAGGCTCAATAATAAAATATACATATGCAGAGTGTATATACACACACACACACATTGTATGTGTATACTACATGTATACACCATAGACAGAGTTTTTTATATATATATACACACAAATATGTATATGCATGTATATGTGTGTGTACAAATACACATAAAATATATTTTCTATGTAAACACACATATATGTGGTTTAGAAATGTATATGCTTACAAATACATATTTGTGTAAAATAGATACAAAATACTATGTGGTTACTGTACAAGTTTGCTTTTTATTCCCACAAATTCACTTTTTTCAGCATATCTTTAGATGCAATACTAACATGCAATTATTATGCCCTCATTGAAGAGGGATTTTGCCATGCAGTGTTATTAACAGCACTTTCATATCTTTCCTCTTTAGGTTTTGGCTCTACTTTTTCAGCTGCTGAGGAAAGTGTAAAGATGGTACCAGTCTCTCCAGAAAATATCAGCAAGCAGTACAAAGTCAGCAGTCAGGCAAGCACAAGATATATTTTCCAATGGTATCTCAAATGAAAGAAAGACTGCCTTATGCAGCAGTAAATGACTAAAGCCTTTTAAAATGTTATTGTTATGCTGACTGTATTTCCTGAAGAGATGAGAGCAATGATCATGAGGGAATCACTCAATCTCTCTTTGTAATGATAGTAGAACTTTCACTGAACAAAGGAGGCTGCATCAGCTATTGGCAATCTTAAATTCTGGATTTGAAGCCTTCACCTGATGTATGAAATACTTATCACACTTACAAAAGAAATGTAAACTTCATGGAGGAGGTTCAGCCAATCTATAAAAAGTAGATTGACCACACTCAGTCATCTGATGTCTTCCATACACTGGATTCCAGAAAATTCTACCAGGCATCTAAGTCCCAGTTGTAAAATGTTTGTTTTACTTATTGCAACATAGATACACTTGGGAGCAGGCAAGCAGAGCTCCCTTCTGCTGGGAGTACCCTCTTTGAAATGCAGGCAAGACCCTATGTGAAACCACTCTAGTGACAGTGTTTGCCAGAGATACCCCTTATGCCCACCATCTCTCCCACCTGCCCGAGTCTGTAACTTGTGACTAGACTGCTTTGTTTGAATCTAAAGTTAGGATATTGTGTAAACAGGAGCAAAGTTGACTGATGATAAATCTGGCATGAACCATTATATAACATATGGACAGGTGACAAACCAATCTCCTATGGTTTTAGTTACCATTTACTTAAGGATTTTGCTGAATTCAGGTTTGGTACATTAGAAAAAGTAACTTCACACAGTGAACTTCCCCACCAGCTCACCTGATGACTAGTAGCAGGAAGTGATGAGCTGGTGTAAAAGGATGCAGAGAACTCTCATATAAAAGCATAATATAAAGTCTCACATGTCACATAGCTAAGAAAGTTCGAAGGGAACAACTGGGATGATCACATTTTACTAAGTAAAAGGTAATTTTCAAATTCTAATTCAGATTCCTGGTGTTTTTGTCTAGAAAAAAGGACGGTTGGTGTGCTGAGGAGATAAAGAGGAAGAGCTAGAAGTTAGTGGCAGTGACTTTTTTTTTCCCACCTTCCCAAAGTGACTATATAGGGTTTGGAGTTTAAAATTAGATTATTTGTTCCACCTGTATTTCCACCTTTACTGTAATTGTATCATTCTTACCCCTGGCAGGTCTTTCACGAGTGTTTCCTGGAACCATGCCACAACAACGGGACATGCAAGCAATTGGGAAGTGGATATATTTGCATATGCCCACTTGGATATACAGGTAAAAAATTGAGAGGAAGGTGGAGGAGCTAACATGTCTCCCTGCCCTTAACATGAGCGACCATAAAGGAGCAAAACATTTCAAGATTATAGCCTAATTGGAATATCCGTCAGAGATTTAGCATACATAAGTATTAAGAAAAGAAATAATTCCTTATGTTTTCGCTGAATTATATCGCGTTTAGCAGAAAAGGATTTTGAATGGGGTTTCTTTCAGTGGAGTTAGTGGATTTGAAAATCCTGTCACTTGGCAATATTTATGATTAGCAAAAGCTGGAAATTTGCACTGTGAACAGCTAATACCACTAGATCTGCCTGTACTTCTCTTCAATGTTAGCTTCCCACTTGCTTCAAAGCAAACAGATGACTCGTTTTTCAGCTATTATCAAGAAGCGATCTCTGTTACTTGTGATAGATATTAAATGCCACTATCTGGAACTGATCAGTCTGTTGCCTGATATGCATCATACCTTTCTAGTAACATTTTGACTCAGATCTGTGTTAAAAACAAAATCTAAAGAGAAGATCATAAACCTGAATGTCTGCTAATGTGCATAATTAATCAATTACGTTTTCCTACATTAAGTAGTCACGACTTCTGTGTTTCGAACAATTTCAAAATTTGTCTCTGTTCTCAGTCCTTTATTTTGCATTCTAGGTTTGAAATGTGAAACAGAAGTTGATGAGTGTAAATCATCTCCTTGTCACAACAATGGAATGTGTAAAGATGGCATTGGGACCTTTGTTTGCCATTGTCAACCAGGTTATTCAGGTAATTTATTTCACTTCATAGCTCTTCTTCAGACAGGCATTGTTTCAGTGCCAAGTAGATAACACAACAAATAAAGGCTGTATAATTCCACGTCCATGGAATTATAACAGGAAAGCAATCTGATCTACAGGTTAGAGTAATGTTCTACCGTGTGTGAATAGGTTTTGAAATATGAGGATGAGCATTCAAGGACAGTCTCTGTGTGTGTGTGTATGCATGTATGCTTCTGTTTTGTGACATTTCTGACCTGAAAAAAAATGAATGAAGTTTAGCGAAATAGTAAATACTCACAGGGAAAATGCTTGTGAGACTGAATATGGCCTGACTAGACAAAGTATTTATGCAGTTGTTTCACTGCAGCTCTGTGAGTGAGTGGGCTTTTCCTTATCTTTTTTCTCGGTGTTTTTAACTCTCACTTGCATGGATGTTGAAGGTATTGAATTCTGTGGAGAAACTTAACATGCTTGAGTACTTTGCCAAAACAGCACTTAATTTCTGAATATTGAAATAAACTATTGAGGAGATAATTCTATGTGATTAAAAAAAAGACCTTGTGTTTTCCACCAGAAGTGGTCTCCCTGATTTTTCTTGTTTATGGCTATACATTTCTCAACAGCAACACTTGCTGAATATTTTTCAAACTTTATAAAGACAAACCATGGACTTGGCATTTTTCACATCTCAGTATCTAAATAGCACAGGTGATCTCTGTAGATGTTTGCAGTAGTTTGCAAACAAGGAATTTTATCACCTGCTCTCCATAGCCTTTTGTTATGGAAGCCATGTAGTGCTGTTCTGTCTTCCACGTTTCAGTCACTGCAGCATGCAGACCTTGACTATGTGTTGATCATACCTTGTAACCCTTGCTGTTTAAAGGTCTCTTGTGTGAGGAAGACATAAATGAATGTAGCTCCAGTCCATGTTTGAATGGAGCCCACTGTGCTGATGGCAAGAGTGGTTACCGCTGCACTTGCGCAAAAGGGTTCACAGGTACACCTTTTTCTGTTTAAGTCAGTCTTTGCTGTTTCTGACCAAAAAAGATGTCTTCCTACCTTGTCCAAAGTATTTCAATCTCATTGCTATATGTTACATATATTGTATGTTGATATGGATGTACTGGATTCCTTAGGTCCATCTAATCTCTCGGAGTCCCTGTAGTGTAAGCACAGCTTCAGAAGTATTTACTAAGTAATCAGTCTTCTGTCACTAGTTTTGCCATGAACTTACTGTGTGATGTTGAGGACAGAATAAGGACATTCACATAAGTGCAAATTGTTTTTTTAAGTTTTATTTAAAAATGAAAAATATTGTAATAGTAGACAAGATGGTCGATATTAAAACTACTCCCCATCCCCATACTCAGCTTCCTACAGTTTAGGCATATCTGTTGATTATCATGTGCCAAAGAGTCTGGGTTTCATGTTTCTCCTTAGAGTTAAGGTTCCAGCTAAATGTCTTTTGTAGCAGTTTTTCATTAGTTGCTCAGAAGTTTCTCAGGTGATTTCGTAATTCAGCCCAAATTACTCACATAATGGCCAATATCCGTTTAAATTCCCCACAGTTTACTGAGTGTAAATTTCTACAACTGCAAAGATGGTTCTTGTAATTCTTCTATGACCACTTAACCTCAGTTAATGGAGTAAATCCCAAACCTACATGGCTACCCTGGTGTTTGCTGTTTCCCAGAAGATCGGCAACAGTCCTTAAAACAGAGATGCGTTAGTAAACTTTCTTAGGTTAATTCAAAGCAGAGCTGTGACTTTGTTTCTTTTCTTCTCAGGTGCTCACTGTGAAATGGAGGTCAATGAATGCCTTTCAAATCCGTGTCTTAATAGAGCTATTTGTGAAGATCGAGTTGGCGGTTTCTCCTGCAAGTGCCTCCCAGGTTTTATTGGTGTCTTGTGTGAAAGAAACATCGATGAGTGTCTCAGCAGACCCTGTAGGAATGGAGCTACATGCAGAGATGGTATCAACGGCTTCAGGTGAAAAATAGATGATTAATATAATACAGTGTGGAAAGTCAGATATATTGTGGTGCTTCAGCCTTCTTAGATTTCAGCAAGGCATTTGGCAGCCTGATCCAATATAAATGGTCCCTTTATGGACACTAAAGGAGATTTTAAAAGGGAAGAAAATAAATCCTAGTATCCTCACTCTTAAAAAATTCCATGGTAGGCAGCAAAGAAAATATGCAGAGTTTGAAGAGTAAGCATGGTAGGACTGCATGGTTTTAATATCGGTCTTCCAAAAGAAATCCACTTTCCCAAGCTTCAGGGGCTTGTCTTGCTTTCCACTAGAAGAATAGATGATAACCAGTTATGTACCTGATCATATTACATTTCTATAGCCTGGAAGACAGGGAAAGTTGTACATATTGAGAATATAGAGATTAAAATACAAACAGTTTATGGAATCTTCCAAATATTTATTTTTATACTTCAGGGTATTTGAACTCAGATCAGAAGTTACAAATACGAATAGCGGTATCATATCCTAGATCACTGTAGAGACAAAGAGATAGACGAGCTGTTACTGTCTGGGTTTAATAACTCACTCCCTCCCCAAAGCCCCAGAAGTTATGGTGTCTTTTAAACACCTTGGTTTTCCAAGTAACAGAGATTATGGTGCCTTTCTCCTGCCTTGGTTTTCCCTTTATGTAAGCATATCTGCCTGAGAAGTTGAGTACCTCTTATCTGTAATTCTGTGGACCTAGAAGACATGCTTCACTCACAGGAATGCAGTCATTGCCTTTCCCAGTTTCATATGAGGAACCGCAGGCACTGTGTTTAAATATTGTGTTGTCCCTATCAAGAAGAAATATTATGCAGCTAATAGAATACAAGCATACTTAAAGGAACAACGAAAATAAAACTGAGTTAATTCTGTAGTATCTCTTCTGTTGATCTTTTTTTTTTCAGTGTATTCCATTCCAATTGGCAGATCTGTCTTCATGGCCAGGATTCTTTGTTGTCACAGCAGCCGCTTTGAAGTGTGCTTCTCTTTCCTCTGTAGGTGTCTGTGTGTGACAGGGTACACAGGACTAAACTGTGAAGTGAACATCAATGACTGTGACTCCAGTCCCTGCTTAAACCAAGCCACCTGTGTGGATGCCTTGAACTCGTACGTTTGTAAATGTCCCCCTGGCTTTACAGGCAGCAGGTGTGAAACAGGTACACAGGACCAAGTGTCAGATAAAGGTGGCTTAACTAAGTCTGTGGGCAAGATTGGCACTGGCTGGGCTGATTTTGTACAGCTTCCCCAGAAAGCAGCTAGAGTGGTGGGACTCTGAGAGGCAGAGTAGAGGCTATGTGATTGCAGTGTTAATAAGTGTAATTGCAGACAGGTAACAGTATGTGTGCTGTGTCGTATTTATATTCATTTACCTTTTCTAAGGCATAGTTTTATCTTTTTAATACCTAGTAGGTCTATTGAGTTTAATTTATATTTGCTCTTTGTATCTGAGTTAATAAGCTCTTTTTGTTGCTTGTATTTCCATGTAGGGCTTTGCATCACAGGGTTAGAGATTAGTATGTGGTATTCTCATCTTTAGAAGTCCTAAAGGCATCAAATTCACTACAGGCAAAAGGGCATCAAGTTCCCTATGGTCAGGCAAAATGGGTCACACCTAGTGCAACTTCTTGGCTGATGCTGGAGCTTGGCCACACAACCTCGAGGCTCAAATCCATTGTCTTTTAGCCACTCCATGAAAATTATAAAGTGTTATACTAATAGCTGGTGAATCTTTAAGTGGAAGCTTAAGAACCTGTGTTGATTTTACAGAGACAGTAGAGGACATACAGATAATTTAGACCTGCCATCCTATGTCAGAGTTTAGTAATACCCAGCTTTCAGGAGAGTTCCACTTGATACATTTACATGTACTATCCTTGTAAAGCATGTCACTTTGCATTGAAGAGCAGCACAGAAGTGCTGTTCCACACAAGTGCAGTGTATTCCAGTAAGTTCAGAACAGAAAAAATCTTGGGGTTTTTCTTTTGTTTGGTTTGGTTTGGGTTGGGTTTTTTTTTTAATCTTGACTCATGTGAATAAAATGGAGCGAACTGATCACACCTCTTTGGGTTGTTGGATGGCAGATGGATATGTCATTTCATTGATAGAGGCCTGAAAAGCAAGGCTCATGTTCATTGTTTGTTAAATAATCAGCTTCTTTTCCAGTTGTTTGTCTTCAAACCCTGTGTGTTTTCTAGCCTTGGAAAGCTTTATATGCTGGCTGATGTTAGACTGCTATACATTCTTTTTACCTCTGATCAATTTAAAGTGAATAATTTTTGTAGATGGGTTGCATTCCATTTTATTGCATTTGCTTAGATTCCATTTGATTCTCTTTCTGGGTTTTCAGGAATGTAGCTCTGAAAACTCTTTGTCTTTGTTGCAGAACAGTCCTCTGGTTTCAATCTTGATTTTGAAGTCTCTGGTACCTATGGATACGTCATGCTTGATGGTGTTTTTCCATCTCTTGGTGATATCACATGTACATTCTGGATGAAATCCACTGACACTACAAACTATGGGACTCCTATTTCTTATGCAGTGGAGAATGGAAGTGATAATGCATTTCTTCTGACTGATTACAATGGGTAAATCACAGTTCTGCTTTTCTGTAGCACACAGATGTTTTGAATTGATAAAGAAAGTGTAGACCAGAAGTCTGAATATCAGTTTTACCTACTTTGGGGTAGAAAAATCTGCATCCAAACTCCGTAGCTGGAGTTACCTCTTAGTTTTGTTTTTCTTCTTGCGTTGTTTCCCTCTTTTTTTTTTGCCAAATAGAATAGTGATGGCAAGAAAGCAGTGAAGTTTAGAAAGCAGGATATTTTTTTGTCTGGACTACATTTACATCATATTTAAAGGACACATTGAGACAATGATTGGATAAAATGGAGCTCAGCACTCAGAGTACTTGTAGTGTGACTCCAAAAGCAGAGATGGACCCCAGGGGCAAGTTTAAGAATCCACTATACAGCCAAGACTTGAGTCTTCATCTTTTGGTGCAAAAGCACATTACTTATTTCATCATGCTTTGCATATGTTAACCATAAATTTCCAAGTTCACTGAGAGAGAAGTATCTTGTATGATGATCTTTGAAGAGAGATTTCTCGTACGATATAGATACAGTTACCTTGTTTGGCAAATAACATTTCTTTGAGTCATGTGGGACAGACCATGCTTTTAAAGTTGCTGCATGCAACTGAGCATGCCTTCATCTTCCTTCTATGCAGCTGGGTTCTTTATGTAAATGGGAAGGAGAGGATCACAGACTGTCCTTCAGTGAATGATGGTAACTGGCATCACATTGCGGTCACATGGACATGCACGGATGGGGCATGGAAAGTGTACATCGATGGAAAACTGTCTGATGGTGGTAGCGGGCTCTCTGTTGGCTCAAAAATCCCTGGTATGCTTTATTTATATTATACCAGATCTGTTGCCTTCATTCTGTTTTTATTGCAGAATTTGCTATGCCTGCAAGGAAATGTTTATTTTGGTGGGTTTTAGTATGTTTTCACATTTTCAGCATTTATGCAGGGCTCATGTTTGCTGTTCTTGTTCATGAGGACAGTTCCATCAGCGGTGCTGAAAACCTAGTGCCAATTTCTAGAGTAAACTAGTAGGTAACTTGTTGTGGAGATGACAGAGTTTAGTCCACAAAGGAGCCTGTGCTGAGCTGATTTTTTAATGTCTTCGTGAGAACTGGTTTCTTACACAACAAACTTAAGTTTAACTGGCATATCCCTTAAAAATGCACACTCAGAGTTGATTGACTTAGCCTTCTCCTGTTACTTTCAGACATCTTTTTAAAGTTATGTTTACATTTTTTCCTAATAAGTTGGGTTTTGCTATTTCATTGTTTCCTGTGATCAGCAGTCTTTCCAGTAATATCAGAAGACATGAAAAGGAATACCTTCAGCATTGAAGAGCTGCGAAAGGCCTGACATTAGATAGCTGCAAAGAGATTTGCTTTTGATAGTGTTTTCATACTACTATTGTCCAATTTTACATACGGTTTCCAAAAACTACCCATATTAAAATAAAAAATAAAATAGTGAAGCATTTTAGTCTGCGTACCTTATGCTTGCCCCTGTCTTTCCCGGTTACATCTCCAGAGACAAGATCTAAGGAAATGTGCAGTCTCCGTTACTTTTTGCCCTTTGCACACAGTCTGACATACAAGATGCATGTCCACATCATCCGTGCAACTCGTTGAGAAGAGGAAATTTAACTGTACGGCATCTCAGAACATTGACTGTTTAATCACCAATGTGCTTCTGAGGGCTTGGAATCAAGTTTATTCTATCTGACTTTCTAAGCTTTTGTTTAAAGCAGGAAGTGCAAGTTAACACTGTAAAATATGGCCCACCTGCTCAAAACTGCATTTTGCATTGCTTTGTAATCTGCTTCAAATACTGAGCTAGAAGTCGTCTCATAAAGCCAATACCATTCCTGAGGCAGCCATGTAGAGTTTCTGCTCTCATTAGCATGAATTTAGTATTAAAACGTATTTGAGAGTCACTTCCAAATTGTTACGCTCACTTACCTCAGTATAGCATAAGGTTTCCCAGAGGTTTGTTGAGAGAGTTTGTTGAAGGTGGCTGGTCTCCTGCACTACAAAATCTTAGTAACACAAGGTAGCAAAAGCTTTGTTCTGCTTAGCTTTTAATCTTTCTATGAGGATCCCTGCTGTAAGGCTTTGTTTCCTATCGCTGTTCTAATTTTCTTTGAGTTTAGGTGGTGGTGCGCTGGTACTGGGTCAAGAGCAAGATCAGAAAGGAGAGGGATTCAACCCAGCTGAATCGTTTGTGGGCTCCATCAGCCAGCTCAACATTTGGGACCATGTCCTGTCTCCACAGCAGGTAAGTCCTTACTGCCATGTTTGAGCACAGGGGTAGGATGAACATTTAAAAAGGCATTCCAAGTTAGCATATTGGATAGACCTCTGTTCCCACAGAAGTCAGTGGGGACCAGATGAAGCTCTGGCTTATGGTAGTAAGCTTAGCATAGTAAGTAGAGTAGCTTTTAGCAAAATGAGGTGTGGTAAAATCAACACTGAGTCACCTTCTCTTTGACTGTATTATGTAGCTTTGAAAGAGAAACAAAGGCATGCACAAAAGCTAGCAGTCCTGCTAGAAGAGGGAGAAAAGCCAATGAAACAAGCTAAGGGCTTGTTACAGTTCCCTCATCCTGCTGTGTGAAGGCACCAATAAACTTCAGAGGGGAAGCACCAGAATTTCTGTCAATGCGTTAGACACTATAAAAAATCTGAGCTATATAGTCCCAGGAAAAAGTCTGAATGGGCAGCATAATTCACTATTAGGCTACTTTTATTCACGTACCAAAAATAAAAGTTTGGCACTAAACTTTCAGAGTTAAAAATTACTGTAGATCAAAAGATGTCTGCAAGGACAGTGATCCCTCAGCTTCTCTGGGAGACAAGCTTTGATGCTTACTTACCCTCAGAATGAAATTTTTTTCTTTATATCTAGTTGGGACCTCCCACTTCCATTTATGACTACTGTTTCTTTCTCCCACCATGCACTGCTGTAAAAAGCCTGACTATATACTTGATTACCTCTCCATAGGTACCAAGCACTGCTGTTAGTTGTCCCCAAAGCTGTCTCTATTCCAGGCTGAACCAGCCTTGGTCCGACAACCTCTTCTCACAGCGCAAATACTCCAGCTCATCACCTTTTTGATGCTCTGCCCTGAACTTGCTCCAGCTTGTCAATGTCTTTCTCATACTGAGGAGCACAAAATGGAATGCAATCCTCCAGATGTGGTCTAATAGGCACTGAAAAGAGGGAATAATCCCTTCTTTGGTTTTCTATGTGACTGTATTCACACAGTCAAGGATGCTGTTGGTCCTCATTATTGCCAGGGCACAGAGCTGGCCAATACTCAGCTCACTGCCTCCCAGAGCCCCTAAGCCCTTTTCCACAGAGCTGCTCCCTCTCCAGACTTTGCCCAGCCTCTACCATTCAGAGGTTTTTCTTTCTCATTTATTCTTGTTGAATTTCATGAGGTCTGTGTTGGCCCATTCCTCGAGACTGTCAAGGCCCCTATGGATGCAGCTCTGTTCTTTAGCATACTGGCTGGGCCTCCCAGTTTGATATTATCTGCAAACCTGATGACAGTGCGCTCCATCACCACTTCCTGGTCATTAGTATTTCAATCCTGAAGGTCAGAAATTATGAAACTGTTGGTAACACTTGAATAGCAAGGACTGATGTTCAAAGTTAGAAGCATTTCTTGTGGGCAGGACCTTTGGGTTAAAAGGTTTTGCTCTTCTCCTGGTGTTTTTTTAAGTTTTTATCACTATTTGGTGGCTTATCACTGCTTGTTATCCATGATCCAAATAAGAAATAATAAAATGAACAGAAAATAGAAGTAAAGCAGAATTTTTGCTACCAGCATCCAGTCTGCTGCTTTCTCCTTTTCTTTGCTATTTTGGCTTCCTGCGAGGTTCAGAACTGCCCAGCAATCTGCTTCTGTTCTTGGGTTTTGGGGTCACTAATTGTTGCATTTGCAAGTCAGATCTTCAGGTTTTTGTTCATTAGCTGTTTTGAAGCTGATAGGTATACATGTGATTTTACAGGTCACACTGATGAAGAGGTTAAGTGCTGAGTCTTTCTCAGTAGTTATCTGTCCTTAATGACAGGCTTGATTAAATTCCTATTTGCTTCAAATGCAAAAAACATCCTACAAAATTAGGACAAGGAAGAAAATCCTGCCCTTTATTTATAGTATCCGTATTACTCATCTGAAAAGACAGACATGAGACCAGACAGGGAACTGAGCCAAGTAAGCTACCTATAAAATTTTTACCTCATTAATTTCAGAGCTCGGGATAGTAAGTCACTATTTTTATCTGTTATTATCAGTTTTGTAGTGGCCCGTTGGAAGTGTTTAGTAAGTCTTGCCTTCCTATTCTCAGCCATAAAGAAAAGCAGGTGACAGAGTATGTTGCCCAGTGAATAACGTAAAGACCAAATCCACTCTTTAAGGTTTTTCTTGGAGTACATTAGTTGCTCATCCACTTGCACATTAATTTTGTATAGGTAAACAAACAGTCCGGTTGTTTTGTTGCTGAGTAGACAGCGTATGGGACTGTGAGGTCCTTTCTGGCCCTCCATTCTCCATCATATGGCTTGGAGGGGCTGATTCCCAAACTGACTTTCCCACACTGGAAATTTTTCTCTGCATATTCCTTGCAGTTTATCTGCAGCCCTTGGGCTAAGCAGTTTCCATGAGCACATACTGTTGAAGTGAGATCTTTGAAATGGTCTCAGAATAAACAGAGCAGGTTGCTGTCTTCTCCAGCTAACCTGACTCTTTTAAAAGAGTCTCGTCTGCCTTGCTGGAGATCAGGGTAGAGGAAATGTGAGAATAATTCAGTCTGAGATTCGTGGTGTACCTTCCTTTCTCTCAAAGACAGACAGTATAGCAGATTACTCTTGGTAGTTGATTTCGTCCGCTGCAGCCTTGACAGAAGCCAGTCACCCTTCTGAGAAAGGCAGTTTCCCAAATGTTCCACATGAACTGGGCACACCTGTGCTTTCTAACCAGCTATCTGTGCCCTGAAGCCATGCTGCATGTATTGTATGGGTAGGCTGTCTGTGCTGAGATGTACACAGCCCACTGGGCTGCTCATCTTTGCTCTTCTTCGTTCATTTTGTCATGCTGCTGAAGGAAGCATTCCTTTCTCCCTGCCAGGGAATTGTTGGAATGACTCTTCAGCACAGAAGAGCCAAAGAGTAGGAAGTAGTCTCAGTAGCCTAATTACTAACATCTTCTCTTAATTGAATAACCAACTTTTCTCTGTAAACTACTTCCCTCTCTGGTATCTTCAACAAAGAGGAAATCTTTAATTATCGCTTTGGTGTGCATTTATCCTCCTTGGGGCACATATGTTTTTTTCAGCAGCTCTGTGGCTGAGATATGATTGCATCTGCCCTGATAAGGAGAAATGTAATGGGAAGTAGTGTGCCAATAATACACCTTAGTCCCAGTCACCTTCTGGGACTATATTTCCTTTCTGTTTGTGGAGTTACAGTGAACAAAGCAATGCAGAGTGAATCCAAAGCCCTGGTCTTTCATTTGCAGTTTTAAAACATTTTCAGGTAGCAGAAGTCTCCCTGAGCATCCAATGGAACTAGACGGCCTTCTTTTTTAGAAATGTTGGGGCCAGGACATCTGAGCTCTCTCCAAGGGACCGCTATGGAATATTTATGCGACATCCCATCATTAAGGGTCTCTCTACATATTCTTATTGTTGCATATAATTTACACTGGCAATTGCTTAAAATTGCTGTGCCATCTGGGGTTGTTGTCCCCAAGTTCCTTCTGTTGGTGGCCAGATAGAAATATAATGAAGTTACTATGTTTAATAGATCCTCAGAGTCACAGCGAAAATGCAGAAATATTTTTACCTTACTGAATTTTTTTTTTTTAACATTAAAATGCAATACTGAAACAGCTTAAGAATTCCCATTGGCTTTTCAGTTTCTTGTAGTAAGAATGCAAAAAAAATCCCTAGTGGTGCCATTAAAGGATTTATGTTTTAAAAGGAAAACTTTTATATCAAAGATGTTTGACCAGATCTGCTCTCAAGATATGAATCTGCTGCTGATCTAAAAGTGTGTTCCTTTGTTTCTCCTATTCTTAGTTTGCCTATATAATTCCTGTTTCAGTACATGGTTTGTTATGGCCCTGCCCTGCTTTGGCTGACGTCAATGCCAGTACTGCTGTTAGTGTTGGCGTGGGTGGGCCTTGCCTGGAGTGTTTTGAAGAGCCTGGTGCATTGAATTCACAAAATTCATGTCCTGGAAACAACAAATCGCTTTATTAAACTGCTCCTTTTTGTGTTTCTGTTCCTTAAACCTGGTGCAGTGCTAGCAGAGTTTGCGGAATGCAGATCTTCAACGTTAAGTTCCCTTTGGGTCCTATTTGACATATTTCAGCAAATACATCAAGTTTTCTCTGCAGGTTGCATTCTCACACCTGCCTTTTTCTTTGACATAAATACCGTTCTCTTTCACGCTAACAAATGCAATTGTGTTTTAAGAATTATGATTTATACTTTGCTTGTATGAGAAGTATGCCTTCAGATATTGCCTCAGTACATGCCTGTCCACAGCTAGCTGGCTTATAAGTACAGAAAAACAAGCAGTTCAGCCAGAAGCCTCTTGTGCTAGAAAGGATGGACATTGCTTATTCAATGATTTGTTCTAGTGTTGCATGCAGACATGGAAGGAATATTATTTTTGCATTCTTTTCCTACATGCTCCTTAAACAGCACCTAATCAACTGTTTTAAATCCATAGGTAAAATCTCTGGCTACATCCTGTCCAGAAGAACTCCAAAAAGGAAATGTACTAGCCTGGCCAGATTTCCTGCCAGGAGTTGTTGGAAGAGTGAAGATAGATTACAAGAGTATATTTTGTGCTGGTTAGAACTTTACTTCCTAGAACCCTTTTTTTTTGAACAATATTGTAAGACTCTTTTATGAGGTCAAATATGCTAGCTTGCAGAGTTTGACCTACTAACCTTGAATAAATTATTTTGATAATTTGACAGTTAGAACATTCAGTCCTTCATTCCTCGAATTCCAGAGTTTTGTAACAAAAGTTCATTGGAATCTCTGACAGAGATTTATTGCTTCCTGAATTGAAATGGGGAAAGATGGGTCAGAAAGAAGTGTTTCTTGTCTTTTATTCTAAAAATAATTGGATGGTGTTAAAATACCTACTGCCTCCTCACCTCTTTTCCTGCAGATTCCTTTTCTGATGTTATATATTGATGATTCTCTAAACCCTTTGAACCCGAGCAGGATGTAGCATACATAACACTTCCCAAAGCTGGATAAACTTATACAGGATCAAACAATCAGATAACTAATTTATTTGTTTCAGCAGATAGCTGTATCTCTCACTGTATGCATATATTTTGTCCACAGACTGTCCGTCTTTGCAAGGATCCATACCACATCTGCGGGCCTCTTCTGCGGATTTAAAGCCAGGGTCAAAAGTGAGCCTTTCCTGTGACCCCGGCTTCCAGATAGTGGGAAATTCTGTTCAACACTGCCTTAACCTGGGACAGTGGACACGGCCTTTTCCCCGCTGTGAAAGTGAGTTATCTCAGTGGGCTGGCAGGATTAGGAAACCCTAGCTTTTATTTCGACCTATTTCACTATTCATGACCTGTTTATCCGTGCAGCTATGTTGCACTTGAATCTGTCAATGTTACAGCATATACATATAGGCTTAAAACTAAACTCATCTTTTAATGAGCAGGAACTACACCACAACCAGATTCTGCCATCTTTTTCAGTCAGTTTCTGATGCCCATGGCAGAAATGAGTCTGTTTGGATCAACAATCTGATATTCTGAACTTTCCTCCTCAGTGGCACTTCGGTGTGAAGTAAAAGCCTTGGCATTAGTGGGTTGTAGAGTAATTTCTTTAAAAGCAGGAGATACTTCTGTCAGCACTTAGAAGTGCTCCAGGACTTAAAGGATTTATTCTAAGAAACTGGGCTGTTTACATTCAGGTTGCCAAGGTTCTTTGATTCCTGCTTTCCTGCTCCTGCCTTCTCCTTTCCTTTGGTTCTCCTCTGCTGTAACTGCACATGTGAATGAAGTTGCATATGTTGCAGCTGACTGTGGTTTTTGTTTCAGCAGAATAATAAATTAGCTCCAGAAGCAGGTATTGCATGATCCCAAAATTGATTAGTAGTTTGGACAAAATCTTCAAATTTGTTAAAAATATCTTAAAAATAGTTTGATCTAGATTTGATGCGATTTTCGTGTCTTCCTCTTTATTCAGTTGTTCATAGCACAAATCCAGGATCTGTCTCCTGCATAAAGAATAGGATGCATGTGAGGATTTACCCAAAAGCAAGTCCTGCTGGGCAGAGCGTAAGTTCAGTGACAGAGACAGCTTTGCTCTTTATTGGTGTGTTACCAGTGACAAGCCACCAGAATCCTGTTAGTGTTGTCATCTGATTTCTCTATATTGGGCCAGCCAGTTTTACTTGTTGAGCACAGAGCTCAGACAGAACAGGGCTGACCTGCCACAAAAATGCTGAGTGAATGAGGGCCAGATTCACCCACTGGCCTTTCTCAGCCTGTTCCACAAGCACAGGATGAATGGAAGTGGGTTGAAGATAGCTATTTCCTGCATGAAGAACTACACGGTTTATAGTGGAAGGTGTGGTACAGAAAAGGTTCTTCTACTGACTGAATCAGTCTCACTGTCATCCCTGCCTTCACCCACCAGGATCGTTTTCCTCTTCTTCCGACCAAAGACCCCGGAAACCACAGGTCCCCTTCCCCTGACAGCCTGTCTTTGTTACAGGCTCTTCAGTTCTGTAGCTCTAAACACGTCACAGTGTCTAATTGTGTGATCCTTGCACACAGCTGGGAAGCAAGGAGTTACTACAATCCATGTAGTTACAAAGATGGGCTGTGTAGCTGTTGGAATAAGTTCATGTCATCTTATTTGAAATGAAGATGCAGAGAAGCAACTCTGCTAGAGTAAATAGGAGCCTCCGGCAGGCAGGTACAGTGATGCCTTCTGCTGGCACAGCTGGGATCAGAAGGGCTTTTTTACTATAGTCAAAGTCAAAGTGATGCCAAAGGTTGTATGTGAGGTCAGTTCCAGTCTCACCATCGTTCATGCACAACCTGGTCTCAGACCAGTACTATAAACTCTTAGCAGTAATCCGTTAGCTAGTTTTGCAGTGTTAAACCAGAGTAACATTGAGCTTGTTTTTCAGTGAAGGGAAATAACAGGAACCTTCCTGGAGGCAAACTTTTTCCTTAAAACACACCAAGGATTATTGATTATGAGGGGAAGGGTCCTGTGACTGAAGGGCATCTGCTCAGATCTTAATCACAGATGTCTCCTCCAGAGCTAACAGAATAGATGGAGCTGGAGAGTCCTGCTCACTCTCTGAATGACAAGGACCCACAAAACAAGACCCTACACTGGACCTGGAATTAATTAGCTACCTCAGAACAGGTCTAGGCTTCTTGCAGGTGGGATTCCACAGCTGCAGAGAAAAAATCTTTGGTAGTGGCTCTCATGTGGAATTATTCTGAAGTTGATCTGCCTGCTCTGCTAATGTCTGTGCTCTCTTTTCATTCATGTTGCAGGAATCAGCTGTGGAGTACCTCCACCGTTAGAAAATGGATTTTATTCAGCTGAGGACTTTTTTGCTGGCAGTACCGTTACTTACCACTGCAACAATGGGTACTATTTGTTGGGCGACTCCAGGATGTTATGCCTGGACAAAGGGAGCTGGAACAGCATTTCACCATCTTGCCTTGGTGAGATGTGCCATACATATGGCTGCATGAGCTGGTGATATTGCATTTCTCCTGTGCCCTTGGGTTTGGGTGGGATTTCATTCTGAAATTGTGAAGGCTGGCCAGAGTCTCAGAAATTGCACTGCAAGATATTCACAGTTTCTGAAATACTGTGCTCAGCATTGTGTGAAACCAAAACTACATTCTCGCACCTTTATCTGTCAGCCCTCTTGTGTGCCCCACACCCTATACTTAATAAGCCTGCATTGCACTCCAAGCCTCTCTCCTTCCAGGTTCATTTAGCTTTGGAGTCCTTGCATTCTCTGCTTCTAACCTGTGCATTTCCCTGTGCTTCAGCACGCTGTCAGTGTCCCACGCTCTCTGACCAGGTTCTTTAGATGTTCCACATGTGGCGGTTGTAATGTTTAATATCAAATTTAGTTATTTGAAGGTAGTTGATGCTACACAGGATTCCTGATTTAGCAGAGTGATAAAAAATATACTGCATAACACACTACAAATAAATGCAAGTTACACTTAGCAAAATACAGAAATTGCAATACACAGTTCAATCACAATACCAATGTGTTTCCCATTACCAGTCTATAATATGCTCACTGTTGTGATACTGGGCATCCCCAGTAGCCGGGAATGGATACGTGAATTGAAGCCAGCTCAAGTCCATTGCTAGTTGTCTGTTTATACTCTGTGTTGGCCTGTGCCACTTATTCAATTCCCTCCCATGCAGGGCTAGCTAACTGTGGGAGACATTCTCACTCTTTTAATGAACTCAGGGAGAAGCATTTACACCATCAGTTGATCCACTGAACTGCTTATAGCTGTTTATCTAAAACAAAGACTACCTTCCTGTCCCCTTGTGTAGAGTCAGCTTCTTTGTAACGGCAGTGTTCAGTCACACCCTGCATTATTCCCTGAGCTTCATGGGCAGATCTCCTTTGCCCATCTCCTCGGAGCCTTCTTCCACCGAGGGAGTTTATTGGTTGTTCCACACATGCCTGTCAGCAAGCAGCTGCAGCATTGAGAGGGCTGGAAGTGCACTTATGGACACAGTTCATCATGTAGTTGCCACACCATAACTTACTTCCTGGTCAGCACATAATTTTTTCAGTCCAGACACCAGTCTGTTGTTCCTCTCTTTGCTTTTCTCCTTTGCACTTTATACCAAGGCCTAAAGATGAGCAGGTTCTGAGCAGATGCTGCAAGGTTGTCTAAATAGTTCAGTGTCTCTGCATCTGTAGGAAGCATGATCTTGCAAAGGAAAAACCCTGTGCCCCACCTTCCAGTTTGTCTTGTCTCTCATAAAGCAGAGTAGACTAAGGGGAAAATGAAAACAAGAGTGGCCTTGGCACCCTGACCCACCCTTTACCTTTCTGATTCACACTCCAGGCAGGTGCCAACAAAGCCTGGTACACCATTTGCATTCCTTTTGCTCTGTTATGAATCCTATTCATAGTGTCCTTCCACTCTTCCTTGCCTTACAAGACATTACAGGAGGAGCAGTCATTCCAGTTCTGCTCTGGTGGCACTTTGCATTCTCCTGATGCTTGTGTAATTGGCAACTGTTTTGATTTTAATGTGCAGCTTTCATCCTGCATGTCAGAAAGAAATTCCTTTTCTGTTCAGAACATTGTTGGGTTCTTTTCATGCTGGCCAGACTGACTCAGCAGTGAAGAATAAACACTAATTCAGTAAATTTTGTTGCTTTTTTGCCTGGAAATGGGCAAACAACTGCAGCTATATGTCTGCATGGTATATCTAGTTCAACAGCTGTCCGGTAGCATGGCTTTTAAGTGAAGAATTGTTCTATCTCTAGCAAACTGGTTTATATAAAGAATCCCTGATGCCAGCATTTTTCAATTAGATACTTTGAAACTGACCCTTTACGATTTATGATTCATTGATTACATACCAAGGACACTTCTGTACAGTCAGGATTTGAAAGCTGATACGAAGTATTCTGGAGTGAGGGATTTTTTTTTGCTCTACAGTACGAAGCCACATATAGCACACATCATCAATTGGCATTTCTAGGCACTACGATCATATAAATAGTTAAATGTAATGACTAATATATTTTGAACTCATTTTAACTTTTCTGGCAACTGCAGGCACTTCTCGTTCCTAATCTAATGTAACTCTCTTTGGCAAACATGGGGCTCTAATAGTATTTTATGTTCAGAGTGTTTCCCCCCTTGGCTAAGTTTTCCTGTCTTACAGGTGGGAAGTTTGAGATACAGAAGATTTCACAAGCAACTCTTTAATGCAGAAGTCCTCCCTCGTAGTATCTGTCCAAACAAGTAGTAACAGCACATGAGTTACAATGTCTGTTCTTTTACTACTTGGAAACTAGATACTTTTTGTGGAAGTATTGACTGAATGTTAATAGGATTTGCCTCTAATTTTCTCACATTTCACAATACTGTATAGTAAATTATACAGAAAGCATAAATACTAATTTGAATATTAAATATTTTTAATAGTGCATCAAAAATGTGATTGGAGTAAGAGTGATTTTTCATTATGCTTACTAAAGCGATTCCTCTTGACATTTAGTGAGACACAAATTTCAAGCAGGTGCTTAATATAAATAACACCCTAGAGACATGTTTTTTGTGTTTCTTTTTTATAGATGTTGATGAATGTGCTGTTGGATCAGACTGTAACGAGCATGCATCTTGTCTCAACACAAATGGATCCTATGTTTGCACTTGCATCCCTCCTTACACAGGAGATGGTAAAAAATGTGCAGGTATGGGAAAGAAAAACATGAGGCTAGACTTTCCAAGGTTCTGTACAGGCCAGTGTCCTGTCTCCCGCTGTGGAAGGCAGTTTCCAGTAATTGATATCTGGGCAGGGACAGGGCAGGCATGCTCTCATCTCCAGGTCACTTTGGCCTGAATGAGGCTGTGATGAAGTATCTCCTTTTGTTTCTTAAGAACTTACCTCTCCCTATGGAGACAGTTGTCATTGGGATTCTGCTCAGAGAGATACATACATGCAAAATCCTCTTGCACATGGAGCACATGCTGAAGACCCAGGAAGGCCACATGCCACAATGTGTCGCCTCTCAGAGCAGAGCTGTGCAGTGAAGAAGTATTTGAATACAGGCATCGGAGTAGGGCTTGAGCTGCCTGTGGAAACATTAAGCAAGGTAATTTTGCATGAAGATGACAAGCCAGTGGCATAGGTCACAGTAAAAGGTAGCTGAGCTGATTTCATGTTTAGGGCTCGACATGCTGGAACAGGCTTTCCCTCACAGAAGAAAAAAGGACTGTGAGATGTGTTTGCTTCTGACAGTGAATGCAAACTCAGTTACAGAGGGTTCTTCCACATCAAGAATAGCTTACTTGCACAAATCTTCGGTGCTTGTCACTAACATACAGAACAGAGAAAAGCTGGTAAGGCTTTAAAATACTTATGAGGTTTTCCACATGCTCTGCCTTCCTACTTTCAGAAAATTCCCAAGGATATCTCCTGCAACTTGCATATAAAACCTGGTACTTAGTTATGTTATTGATAGTTTCTCTCTTCCTCCTCAGAACCAGTGAAGTGCCGTAACCCAGGAAATCCAGAGCATGGCCATTTATATGGGGACACTTACAGTGTTGGCAGTGAAATAACATTTTCCTGTGAAGAAGGGTTTCAGCTGACAGGAGTGACTAAACTTACATGCATGGAGTCTGGAGAGTGGAGCCACCCAACACCATATTGTGAAGGTGCAGTTCCTGGGGAGAAGGCGTATTGTAATGTGTGGTGTTAGAGGGATGGAAGGGGAAAGGTAGTAGTGTAGAACCTTTAGAGACCACAGCAGCTAATGAAACCCTGTCCTTGCAGACCTGGGTCTCAGTGTTGAAGTCTCTGTTGTCTTAAGGGACGTAAGCACCAGTTCAAGCTTTTCCAATTGTTGTCATACTCATAGTGATACTCTGTTATGCAGATTCTCGAACGTGTCAAAGGCATAGACTCATCTCATTTTAATGCAAGCATTAGAAATGTCTTTCTCCTCCACCCAGCCTCCCATTTTCAAGGAACTTGTGGGAACTTAATGTCTTAAAGATCATTAACTGTGTTTCAGTGGATAAAAAGCAGTCAGAGAGGACAGGCTGGTGCACATACATATACATGGTATAATTGCAGAAATTGTTGCTTCAGAAAACCAGAACTAAGGGGGTGAAGCAACAGTGTACAATGAAGGTGTGACAAAGACAATGTCAAAAAAACAATTACTTTGTCCTTTGTCAAAAAAACCAATTACTTTTAATATGGAGTCCTCTTGACAGTCAAGCGTGTGATTTGTAGAACAGCTCCAACTACCTGTTTTCAGTTAATCCAGTTTCTCAGTAAGGTGAAGTCAGATAAAGAGCCCTAAATGTCAGTTATAGCTTAGTCAAGAACCCAGTGTTACCTAGAGCTTTACACCTCTTCAAACCTATTTAGAGAAAACAAAGCAAATCCTGGTTTTCTGTTCTTTTTTATTTGTGTTGTATCAACCTCTGTTGTCATCCTGTCTTTTTAAAGCTATATCCTGTGGTGGACCAGTTATTCCAGAGAACAGTGCCATTTTGGGCTCAAATTTTACATACCACAATAAGGTGGTATACAGGTAGGAATTTAGTATGTTTTAAGTGCTATATTAATAATTGATTGAGAGTCTGGCAACAAATGAGAGTACGGCTGAATTGAGAGAGTGGTTGAAATGAAGGAGAGGAGCAAGATGGGATTAAAGTAGTGGAAAGACATTGGTTATAACCATAGCTATTCACTAGGAGAGCTGAATGTTTATTCCCGTACTACTTCTCAATGCCCTGCAGAGAAAGATGGTGTATGCAGGTGTGGATGAAGAGAGAAGAGGAATGGCTGATTATGTTGTGCATAAAAGGCTCTGTGTTAGCACTTCTTTTCTTCTAACTCAGGTGCAATGATGGATACGTCCTAGTGGGTGAAAAGGAAATTCTGTGCCTTGCTAGTGGCATTTGGAATCATCCTCCCCCCTCCTGTGAAGTGGTGACTTGTCCTAGCCCACAGGATATCAGCAATGGAAAATACACACTCACTGGCACAACCTACCTTTCCTCTGTATCATACACCTGTGAGAATGGATACAGGTAAATGCAGGGACATTCCTGAGCCAAGTATTGGCGGCATGCTTGCTTGAAGGTCTAAGTTATGTCTGAAAGAGACAAAGCTGGGATCATTGCTCAGAAAGATAAAATACTAAAATAGAATGTAAGAAGACTTCTTTATATTTTGAAGGTACTTTCTGTATTTCATCCTAAATTGGAGCAGTTCAAGAAGGTCATTCAGGATTTGCTATGTATATATATATGCAATGCTTTCATTTTACCATCACGCTTAAAGATATATTTTGAATATTCAGAAAAATAGTTGTCATTATTTTTGGAAGTCTTCATTTGTCTTTAAAGATTATCATACCTCTTCAGCTTTAGCGTATACCCAATATTATTTTTGTTATTGTTTTACAATGCCTTTGGTGAAAGAACCTTCTGCAAGTTACTAATTTACTCCTTGAACTCTTTGTAATAGTCATTTATTCTGTTTTACATTTGTGAGTAATAATATTGGAAACACATTTTTAATATGCTGCAATTAAAAATTAATAGTGTAGTGCTGTATCCAAGGATGTGGCTTCAAGTGCAGGTTTCTGCCTCTCCTGGTATCTGCTTGTTCCTCTACCAGATATACTCTGACATAAGCGGTCTCATACGGACCTGTTTAAGTCTGAATTTTTTTCTGTATTTTCCTGCTGCAAGCATTCCCTTGTCCAGATGGAGGCAGGTAGGTGAGGGGTGCTCACTTGGTGAATGTTTTAACCGTGTTAATATAAAGGCATACGTCCGCTGCAGTCCAGTGTAGTGTTAAGTTGTAGATCCACAGTGAGGGCTTATCTGTACCCCACTAAACCAGGCGGTGTTTTTACCAATGCCAGTGAGTTTTTTGACCATGAACTTAGAACATACAGGCAGCAAATACCACAAAAAAATGCCCTTTGCCTGTCTAGCATAACTTGGTGAGAGAGTCCTCCCTCCTGTGGTTACCACTCCAGGGGAAGCGCTCCCAAACAGTGTCCCTCTTACGCATTATTTCTGAACCTGTATGTGGACCCAGTCTCCTCCTTCAAGCACCTCTTACGTACTTCTTGTCTTAAACATATTGCCACACGTCAGCAGAGCCCACTGCCCTGAGAAGGGCCTGTGCCCTATCTGTAAGGGCTTTACAGGTCAGTGTTGTTCTCTTCCATTAACCCCTAAGCTCATTTCAGTCAACTGAACATGGGGGTGTAATACTATTTTAGACTAAATTGTAGGGAATCAGACACACCTGTGCAGGGCTCTCAGATATGCCATGGGACGTACTGGGAATCCACAGGCAGCTGACAGAGCAGCTGCAGGCCAGGCAGTTCACCGAGGGCATCTCAGGGTGTTGAATACCTCTGTTTAGACAACCAAGTCACACCTTTTGTACCAATCCATTGCTGTTTCCTCAGCTAAGGAAACAAAAAAATACCATCAACTTGAACTGTATATGGCCATTCACTCAAGCAAAATCCTTTACCACCTGAAGGAACTGAATGTCTTTTTGTAAACAAACCTGAACTGGAGCATTTCATTCAGTTTTTTGAGTGAAGATAGTGTTTAAGTCCTTGAGTGAATCAGGTCTCAGACTGAGGCCTAGTTGCAAGTCTCAAGATTGGCATGGTGTTGATGGTGTACAAGTAAATCTTTAGGCTTAACTAAATACTTAAGCACCCTGTGACTTTCTTTTGTGGCTCAAAGATGGGCAAAGATACAGCAGAAGTTATGTGTGTGTCTGCATGGCACATCAATTCCACCAGCCTCTCTCTTCAAAATAATCTGAAGACCAGCTTTTTTGACAGCAGCAGCAGTGCTTTTTCATGAACAGAGGGTGAGATTCTGGCCTCCACTGAAGTCAGTGAGAGACTCCCCTTGGTTTCAGTGGGGCCAGGAAGTCAGTGAGGAGTAAAGCACCTCTTTCTGTTCCTCACCTGGACTGAAATGGCAGCCTTAATAATGATCTTTGTGTCTCAGCCTTCAGGGTCCTTCTGTGCTTGTCTGTGCATCTTCAGGGAACTGGAACAGCACACCTCCAACTTGCAACATTGTCTCTTGTGGATCCCCTCCTGCCATCAAAGATGCAGTCATCACTGGGAATAACTTTACTTTTGGAAACACAGTCTCTTACGCCTGTAAGGAAGGGTATGTAGATTAGCATTACTGGACTAATAGTCAGGACGAGTAAAACTGTTGCATTGCTTCACAAGTCCTTTATAACTGCACACATTCATTTTTACTGCCTCTCTCTTAACTCTCTGGAAATTAAATGTGATGGAGATGTTTTTGTGGGCTGTCAAGTTAGTATGGGACATGTAGGCATTTCTTGAAGTAGTTTCACGGCAGCTGAATACACTCTGGAGGTGGAGAACGGAGAGGAATCATGGGGAATGATAGACCAATTCAATAGGAAGCCCTCTCCCTTGGAGTTACTACAGAACTAGTCCTTCCGTGGTAAATTCAAGGCCCTGATCATAAAGAATTAACTATGTCTCTTCAGGCTGTAAGAAAGCTGTTTCATGTGTTTTGAGAACTCTGTTCTGGTGTTCTAAATTCTGCTTTCTTAAAACCGACTCCTCATTTATTGAGGTGCATTTTTTTCCTTTGATTTCCATCTACTTAGTGTAGTGACCTTTTCAGACTGTATTTCATCACAAATGAGGCTCCGTTTTGATGATGTCAAGCATCAATGTAATGCTGGACTCTGATCCTGCAAGAACCTTTGCACATGCTTATGTTTACAGCCAGTGAGCAGTCCCATTGAATTTCTTGAAACTGCTCTATCCAAAAAACAGAACAAGTATGCAGAGCTTTTGGCAGGTCAGGCCCTAAGTGACTGGAGGATTTTCTGCTCCTTCTTGATGGAAAATGGTAGATTGATAAGCCACCATTTTTCTCATAAACTGGCTTTGCAATATTAGCAAAGCATCCTTATTCTGTTTTCTTGACTGTACTATGATTTAAAAAGCTACTTCTCTTTCCTGTGCAAACATTTTAAATGGGATAGGATAGCAGCATTCAAAGAGTATCACAGCTGCTGTGACAATGAATAGTGTGGATCATATTAAACATTGGCACATGATAGGCTCTTTTTCTGGAGTCCAATCATGAGGCTTTGAAAACAAGTCCTGCAAGTAAGACAAAGCACTTTTACAGATGTTGCCATCAAAATCTGAACAACCAGTTTCCAGCCAGCAGCTGGAAGGAGTCACTGAGAACTTTGCAGTAGTTATTGTTCCTTTGCTTTCTGTGAGTGCACACCAGAGAGTTGTCAGGACTGAGGAAGAAGATAGTCACAGGTACTGTGACTACACTGTTGCATGTTTAATCAGCAGAGTTTTAAGTGGGGTGATGAGCAGCATGGAGTAATGCCTGTCACTGCATCCCAGAGACAGATTAGAGTAATACAGGTACAATAACAGCAGTCATGGTAGAATTTCATTGTAAAAGATTGGATTTTATTTCTACTCAGCATTAATTATTTTGTTGGCTTTTATAACAATTTTTACAGTGTTTTTTTAGGAAGAAGTTGTTAAAAATTGCCATGCACACTATTGGCAATAGCATCTCTGGGTTACTCACTAAGGAGTTTCTCATTGCTTGCAAGTGTGAAAATAGATTGATAGGGCTGATATAGGAACCCAAAAGGCCTTTATGGGCTTTTCATCTCTTTCTTCTCCATTCAGTTATGCTAAAGGGGAAGAATTTCTCAGTGGGAGCATTTCTTTGAGGATTATATGGACTGTCCCAGCACAATACTAGGTCTGTTGTTGCAGTTTCAACCAAAATGGAAGTTCAGGAACGGTAATCAGATGGACAGATGAGAAAGAAGCAATATACACAAGGTGTGCTAGGATATCCCTCATTGTGATACCTCACCCATGGACATGTAGGCTTTAAGATTTTCCTTTTGAAGTTGATCATAACTTTTGTAAAGGATCCTATTCTTCCAGGGTGCTAGCAAGCAAGCTTGTGCTGCAGGGGCTTCAGGAAACTGTAGGTAGCATTTGACAATGCTTGTCTTTTTGACTTCCTGTGTGGTTTCCTTATCCACAGTTACACATTAGTTGGCCCTGCAACCATAGAGTGCTTAGCCAGCGGCAAGTGGAGTGTGAGCCACCAGCAGTGCCTGGCAGTATCCTGTGATGAACCACCCCATGTGGAAAATGCATCACCAGAGAGTGGCCACCGCCTCTTTGGCGATATAGCTTATTACTTCTGCTCAGATGGCTACAGCCTGGCTGATAACGCTCAGCTGCGTTGCAATGCAGAAGGGAAGTGGGTGCCTCCAGTGGGCAGGGAGATGCCCCACTGCATAGCTGATTTCTGTGAAAAGCCATCCACCGTCTCATACAGCATCCTGGAGTCCATTAGTAAAGCCAGGTTTGCAGCTGGCTCCATCGTGAGCTTCAAGTGCATGGAAGGCTTTATTCTGAACACTTCAGCCAAGATTGAGTGCCTTCGAGGGGGCCAGTGGAATCCTTCTCCTTTGAGTATCCAGTGCATCCCCGTTCGCTGCGGAGAGCCTCCCCACATTAGCAATGGCTATGCCAGTGGGGCCAACTACAGCTTCGGAGCAGTGGTGGCTTACAGCTGCAACAAGGGGTTCTACATCAAGGGAGAGAAGAAGCGGACCTGTGAGGCCACTGGCAACTGGAGTGGCAGTTTGCCCACATGCCACCCAGTATCCTGTGGAGAACCACCGCAGCTTGAGAATGGCTTTATTAAGGTACAGAATGAGTTTTCTCATCTGCCTGGTACCATAGCAAACTGAATATGTCTTCACGATTGCCACTGTTGAGTTTTTCTTTCTTCTGTTTTGCTTTCCTGTTAAAATTGAGGAAGCACGTGACTGGATGGAATAAGCAAAGGGAAAAACGGATTTGCAGGAGAATCGTGTCTGAAAAACATGGACACTTCCATGGGATTTCCTATCTTAAAGTGGGCTTTCAGTTAGGAAGACTCAAGATACTATATGACAATCAATTGATTTCCTTAATGTCTAACTCTTCATTTGTTTGGTTCATGGGTGGCTTTCCAGTGCCATCTGGAGACATTTGAATTACTGTTGCCAGTTCACAAGTCTCGCTGTTTTCACTGCTATGAAAAAAAATTTGATTTGCAATAGATAAATCACCTTGGGATAATTTCTCTCCTTTCGATGCGAGCACACTTCCCTTTCCTTATCAAATTACATTGCAACAATGCCTGAAGTTAAAAATCTCTTTGTGGCAGCCCAAACCTGTAACAACTACTTAACGTGTGCTGTGCTTTGATGCACAAGGGTAATATTGTGGTAAGGAACATCAGAGACACTACTGTAAAGATTTAACATTGAATTTTTAAAGCATTTTTCCTCTGAACATCCCCCTTCCTTCCTTAAATCTAGCCATCAGGGAATCTGCATTTGCTAAAAGTTGGCAGGGGGGTTGCATGCCAGTTTCTACGTGGGCTTCCAGAAGTAATAGCAACAATTTCTATTCAGACTCCCACACTGATACATCCTCTAATTAATGCGTATCCCTCTGTGTTGTCTTCCTTAGGTAGGATCACTCCTCCAGTTATTCCTTCCAGTTAGAGACATTTTTTAATACCTCAGTCAGAGCTCATCCTGCAACTTTGAGGGGCTCCTCAGCTACCAGCTCAAGACCCTGCAGCTGCATATGTGGCACTTATGAACATCTCCTAGTAGTAGTAAATCTGAGGGCTCCAGCCTTGAATAAGCCTGTAAACTAAAGAATCATAACAACCATAGGCCATTTCATGGCAGCTTCTCCTGACCCATATCTTTTCTGTCTTCCTGTCTACACATCTGGCCTCATGGTTCAGGAAGGGGGAAAGCAGCAGAAATATGTTCTAGCTTTTACCTTTTAAGCCTTGAATTTTCCGTTTTCTTTTGATGGTGCTCTCAGATTTCCTGACAGCAGAGTGCATCCTTTGAGGCAAGACATTCTGTGTCAGTTATTTGAATTCATTCCTTTGCAGACAGACTTTACCGCTGTCTGGGATTCAGCTAGAAGCTAGACCAAGAGAACACAAGAAATTAAATCAGCCTCTTATTGCCCAATCATACATCTTCATTTCAGACATGTCCCCATCTTATCTATTTTGCAGGAAACAACTGGACGCTTCTTTGAGAATCAGGCACATTATCAGTGTGAGTCTGGCTACCAGATGGTTGGGAGCTCAGTGTTTATCTGCCAAGCCAATCGGCAATGGTACAGTGAATCACCTCCTTACTGTGTTCCCCTCAGCTGTGGAAAACCAGCACCCATCCAGCACGGCTACTCCAAGGGAGAAACTTTTGATATGGGGTCCAAAGTTGAATTTTTCTGTGATGAAGGCTATGAGCTGATTGGAGATGTTTCTTGGACTTGTCAGAAGTCTGGGAAATGGAGCAAAAAGCAAAGCCCGAAGTGTGTGCCAACAAAATGTCCAGAACCACCCTTGGCAGAAAACCAGCTGGTCTTGAGGGAAGTGACTTACCAAGTTGGTGTAGTACAGTTCTCCTGCAAGGAGGGTTATGTTTTGCATGGCTCCTCTGTACTGAAGTGCTTGCCCTCCCAACAGTGGAATGATTCCTTTCCCTTCTGCAAGGTTGTACAGTGTCCTGCTCCTCCATACATCCCCTTTGGTGATCCCTTGACTTCGTCCTTTCATTTTGGTAGCACTGTGAAATACATCTGCGTGGATGGGTTTTTACTGAAGGGTGAGTCTACCATCATATGCCAGGCTGATGGCTCATGGAGTTTGCCTTTGCCAGAATGTATTCCTGTGGAGTGCCCTCAACCAGAAGAAATTCAGAATGGTATTGTTGATGTGCAGGGCCTCACCTTCCTTAGCACAGCCCTCTATACGTGTAAACCAGGCTTCGAACTGGTGGGGAACACAACTATCCTCTGTGGAGAAGATGGCCAGTGGCTTGGAGGAAGGCCAGCTTGCAAACCTATTCAATGCCCAAGGCCTAAGAAGATCCTCAATGGCAAACACTCATTCACAAACTTCCATTATGGGCAAACTGTTAGGTATTCCTGTGACAGAGGTTTCCAGCTCCAAGGGGAAGAAACGCTGAGATGCCTAGAGACAGGGGAGTGGAGTACAGAGGTTCCCTCCTGCAAAGCTGTAAATTGCCAGCCCCCTCAGCCCATCGAGAATGGATTTGTGGAGGGTGCAGATTATAGCTATGGGGCCATGGTCATTTACAGCTGTGTGCCAGGCTTCCAGCTGTCTGGCCTTGCCATGCAGACCTGTGAAGAATCAGGCTGGTCTAGTTCCACACCAACCTGCCTCCCAACAGACTGCGGCCTGCCTCCTCACATTGACTTTGGGGAGTACGTGCAGGTGAGACATGGAGAAAGACGTTCTGACCAGGAGAGTGTAACAGAGAGTCCCTCCCTTACACATATGTTACTTGCAGACAATTTGAAAGACTTCAAAAGCTCCTTGAAGGAAGACAGTGCAATGCAGCTCACCACTTTCTTATTTGGTACTGTCATTTTATACACATGTTACTCTGGCTACGAGCTGCTGGGAAATCCTGTTCTAGCTTGCCAAGAAGATGGGGCTTGGAACGGCAGTGCCCCCAGCTGCGTTTCAATAGAGTGCCCTTTCCTGTCACCCCCAGAGAATGGTTTTTTACATTTCACTGAGAACACACTTGGTAGCACGGTGCAGTACACCTGTAAGCCAGGGTTCACACTTGTTGGCTCAGACACACGACTGTGTTTGCCAAGTCGGCACTGGAGTAGCACTGCTCCACACTGCAAAGCAGTAACATGCAACTCACCTACCCAGCTTATGAATGGCAGCATAAGAGGAGAAAACTACTCTTATGGGAGTGTTCTCTACTATGAATGTGATCCTGGATACCAGTTAAATGGCCCCACAGAGAGGACCTGCCAAGAGAATCAGAAATGGGATGGCAGTGAACCGATTTGCATTCCTGTTTCCTGCAGCCCACCACCAGTTTTGGAAAACGGTCAGGTGACTGGAGAGGAGTATACGTTCCAGAGACGTACAGAGTACAGCTGCAACGAAGGTTTCGTGTTATATGGGGACAGGAGTAGAGTCTGCCTTGCAAATGGAAACTGGAGTGGAATTGCTCCAGTTTGCAAAGCTGTGACCTGCCCTGTACCAATGCCACTTGCCAATGGGAGAATTAGTGGCTTAGATTTTAGCTTTAAGAAAGAGGTACACTATCAATGCAACGAAGGATATAGCCTGCAAGGAGTGTCTACGCATACCTGTCAGAGTGATGGTACGTGGGATTCAGAAGTTCCACACTGTGAGCCAATCATTTGTGGACCTCCTGAAGACATCTCCCATGGCTTTCTGAATGGCTCAGGCTTTACCTATGGGGAGTTTGCCCAGTATGTATGCTTCCCTGGTTATGAGCTGCATGGCAATCCTTTACGGCAATGTTTGTCCAATGGCTCCTGGAGTGGAAGTCTTCCGTCTTGCCTACCCTGTCTGTGTCCTGCACCACAGATTCAGAATGGGGTCGTTCTTGGTACAGGTTTCAGCTGTGGGAAACGTGCCCAGTTTCAGTGCTTGGAGGGCTTCAAACTCCTAGGGCCTTCTGAAGTCACCTGTGAGGCAGCTGGCAAGTGGAGTTCTGGGTTTCCTCGCTGCGGGCAGATTTCCTGTGGCTCTCCACCCATCATTCCCAACACATTTATCAATGGGAGCAGCTCTGCAGATGAGAACACCATCATTTATACCTGCTTGACAGGTTTTGTCATGCAAGGGAGTCCAGAACTGACTTGTGTGGAGACTGGTGTCTGGAAGAAGCCGTACCCAAGCTGTGAGCTGTTAAGCTGTGGCCCACCACCTTCTGTACCAAATGCAGAGGTTCTTGGGAACACTTACACCTATGGGAGCAAGGTCCAATACAGGTAAGAATGCTGCTGCCATTCTGCTTCCTAAAATCTCTGAAGGAATGAAGATGGAAGGTTTATGCACCTTCAATTAGTGCAAGTTTTTAAAAGACCTAGAAGAAAAGTTTTGACCTATCATATGCTCAGATTGACAAAGCCCATGTTCCCATGCATATGTAAAATATTATTTGGACCACTGTCAAATCTCCAGCAAGGTATTTCAGCCTGTTGGGTTACACTCCTCCACTGCCTTTAATTTCGCATTCCCCTTTGCGTTCCTCTTCACCTCCTCTGAAACACTGGACACTCTGGACATTCAGGTTTTCATAGCAGGAGGCAGCAACAGTCAGCAGGGTGTGCAAGTTTTCTGCTCTTTTGGCACCCCATTTACATTTTCCTCCTGATTCAGGTGCCTGTCGTAACACAGAAGGGCTCATCTCATCTCTTGTCCCATTTTCTGTATTCCGGCACTGCACTGTCAGCAAGTGTTGCTGATGCAAAGTTACTCTTTAGTCAGATAGAAGAGAAAGGGGGTTTCGTTAATTTCCTGAAGTGTTGACACTGCGGATCTCTTTCTCCAAGGTAAGGAATTCCTTGGCAGAAGGGGAGATGATTTTTTTGCAGTAAAAGCCAGTAATGGTATGGAACAGATCTGGGAGATGGCATGTGGATGAATTTCACAGTATCAGTCATTTCCATGCATCTTTAACAAGGTGAAGGGGGTGATTGTGTCTGCCTTTCTACAAGTAAACCTACTCGTGCAGGCCAGTTGAGTTACTCTTGGGGAAGCACTGTGTGGAACAGAACAAAATCAGCCTTAAATGTCTAAGGAAATGGCCTGCAGTCAGCCTAAGGTGTGGTTTGTGCTTGGAAGAAAGTGAGGTTATCTTTAGAATTGCTTGGTGCTCACACACTGTTTACCTAACCAAAAGCCCTCCTTGCAAAGGGAAAGGCAGTGCAGGAAATGCACTGTACCTTCAGTACCCTCCAAGCACTAAAGCTACCAACTCACTTTCCGTTGTGGTGCTGCAGCAGCATTAAGCAGCTGGAGATAAAGTCTGAAGCTTCTGTCTCTTGCAACAGAATAAACTCAGTACAGGCGTGCTTCTTACAGGGTTACCTTGAAATAACAGAGAAATCCCAAGGTGTTCTTATGAACAACTAGTGCTGAAAAATTAATGCCTGACTTTGTAGTTTATGGGTTAGCTCATCCCTAGCTGTGTCTCTGTGGTCAGGTCTTCATGCTGTGTTGCAGATGCCTGGAAGGCTACACAATGGTGACAGAGGTGGATGTATGCATTTGCCAGGAAGATGGACAGTGGTCTCCTCAAATTATTTCCTGTTGTCCCAGAAAGTGTCCCCTCCCAGGAAATATCACCCAAGTAATCATACTTGGGGACAACTTCACTGTGAACACAAACATCACTTTGTCATGTGTAGAAGGCTATACTCTGGTGGGAGCAAACACATCTACATGCAAGGTATAGTGTTATTTGCACTGTTTTATTTTGCTGACTTTGTTGAATTCAAGAGTCCTCCTCATGCCCTCATTAGGTTTTGGCCCTTAATTGCACATAACAAAAAAATGTAAACCATGTCCTGCAAAATACAGTATGCTTCCTTGTTGCCCAGTAAGAGCAATTACTGGTTTTCCATGTATAGATTTTCAGAACTAGAAATTATTGATTTCTTCTTGCATCGAAAACTAATGCTGTCCTTTAGAAAAGCATTCTTTTTATCACATTTCAGGGAACAAATCATGTCTGAGATTTTTACAAATTATGTCCAAGATTTCTAATCTATTTTGAGGATGGTATGCAGAGCTCTCTTTCTCCAGAATAACAAGCAGCACACATTTTAATCCACTGTGCAGTTGTAGAGACTTGAATCTTCTGTATGTTAAAGAGCAAACATCCTCATCAGTTCTGCTAATAATCTTTTGTCGCATTAGCTGTGGACAACCTTGACTGAAGCTTGTAAATAGACTCTTTAGAACAAGTAAGTCTGCTCATATGAGAAAAGCTGAGCATGCATGTTCTTGAAGAATCAGCACTTCATAAGGAAAGGTTTTCCGCTTATTTTGCTGTTTTAAACATCTGTGGAAGTAGGATTAGGTGTGTTTGATGAGTGTCCCTTCAGGTACCAGACTTCCCTTAGTGAGCCTGGGAAGGCAGCTGAAGCACTTAGTCATGGTGTTAGACATGCAGCCAGGAGAGAAGTACAGAACACGGAATCAGGCAGTTGTAGTTTCCCTTCTTCTGGTGTGTTCCCTGAGCTATTAGGTGACATCGTACAAGTTAACTTGCTTTTCCAAGCCTCTATTTCCCCATTTTCTTTTTGTTCCTTCTGTTTTGTAAGTCTGTGCTGAACATTGCTGCCAAAGCTGAGCTCCAGCCAATGCTGACATCTTAAAAGTGTTACTTACATTACTGAGTTTTATTAAGGATTGTGCAGATAATATCACATTAACCACATCTGTACACCCACAGCCATTGGATGCTTCTGCTATGATTTCCTAACTTTTTTATTTAGATATGACTTAAGCATATAAAGTGGTGCATTCGCACTTCTAATTACATTTATTTTTCAGGAGAATGGCATTTGGGTGCCACCGTTTTCTGATGACACCTGCATTCCTGTGTCCTGTGGGACCCCAGAGTCTCTAGAGCATGGATTTGTGGTCGGCACTAAACACAATTACAAAGATGTGGTTCTTTATAAATGTGATGCTGGCTATGAATTACAAGTAAGCAAGTTCAAATCTCCAGCACTCTAAACCTTTAGTTGTAATTTTCAGTTTTTAAGTGATGCCTCTGAGAATGTATTGTATCTGGTCCATATTGATATATTTACTTAACTGCCACAGAAGTTGGATATCTGCTGTTGTTGTTTTTATTGTCTGTAGAATGCTGTTGGTATGTCTGGGATAGTCCTTGAATGACTTAAGGGTATAACTGAAGCAAATACAAGCATCCTGTTCAGAGATACATATTCAGCAGATTCCTTTTGGGGTTTTTTTAACTGAAGGTTGTTTCAGCCCTCTGTAAATACAGCATTATATATGGTTGTGAACATAAGTCATGGAAGAGTTAATTTCTCATGTATTGTTCTCTTGAACTGGTTCTCTGGCCAGTGAGATTGCATTCTTCCCTCGATTTCTTAATGTCCCAAGCATTATGTCTGGTGCATTGTGCCTTTCAGACTCAAAGCTCCAGATAAACTCCACTGCCCTCAGTTCTATGACATTGCTAGATGGTATGAAAGTGCTCTCTCTTCTTTTAGTAAGTCAAAGAGATTCCAGTTTGTTTGATGGCAGCTTTACTCCCTGATGGAGAAGGGAACAAAGTTTTTCCCTGTCCATGGTTTTTATTGTGAACATCGGGCTCTTATACCCACCTGAGTTCTGGAGCAGCATTGCTGTCCTGTTATCAGGACTCAGGCTAGCCAATTCAGAGCTGCCTCAAGTGTGTTTTCTAAAACCGCAGTGAATTCAGAAATGAAAGTATGTTGCTGGGGCACAGCATAGCCTCAGCCATACCCAGGTGATGGCAGAGTCAGGCACAGTCATGTCCAGAGGCATGAGGTGGTGAGGTGTCTCCAGGACAGAGGCTGGCTCTTAACACTGTGTTTTGTGAGTACCAAGCAGAATGCAGCACTGTGCTTCCTTTGTTGTGTTGTAACACCAATAATAAATTAAGAACTTCATGCATGTGAACTAACCCTGTCAGGATTGAATTCACTCAATCACTCAATATAAAAATAAGGAGAGTTTAGAGAGTGCTTAGGTAACAATACATTTTAATTTGAATTATGTTGCCACGTATCTAATATCACTGGAGGTGGAGGGGTGGGTTTGTATTTAGATGGACAGGTAGAATTGCTATTTTAAGTAATTTTTGGAGGTAATAAGCTAGTGCTTTCAGACAGTAAAAAGTCCTTCCAAGCTTTGTGTTCCAGCTTTGCCACCTAGCGTCAATCTATCTCCCTGCTGTTGAAGAGAAGTCCTGCTTTTTTTCCTTTGGGAAGCTGGGAAGCAAAGTCCATTGAGTGTGATGCCATACAACGCTTATGTCAAACAGCTGCTCTGGTCAATGGGTTTGCACATTACTTCAAGGGACAAATTTAGATGTTGTCTCCATGTCTTGCAATAAAATAAGAAATAAATCCTGTGCTATCAGACTGGCTATAAAGCCTGTACAAAAGAAAGAAATAACATAAGCAAATTTAAAGATTAAATGTTTTGGATGTGGTCAAAATCAGTACGTTATGTTTATAAAACTCAGGCTTGTACTGTTGCTGAAAAAAATGCTAATTAGATTTTCTGTAGGTGAGCCCTGGAAGGACAAAATTTGACATCATAAGACATTCCTGGGAACAGGAATGGTAAAACTGACAAGAAGGATGATACTCCAGGGAGAAGGACAAGAGAACTGACTAACTGGCCCCACAAGCTTTTGGTTTATAAACAATACTCTTAACTTTGCAGGAAGGAGTTCTATCCTAAATTCTGCTAGTAGACTTGGGCTGTAGCATTAACTATCTCTTTACGTGGGTTGCACATGGAGGGAAAACGTCCTGGCCTTGCTGGATACTAGAGTTGGTGGGAGGAAAGAGTTGACTAAGTCAAGTTGTTCTTTGAGCATTTTCTTTTGTTTCACAGGGTGATGCAGAACGGACTTGCCAAGAAGACAAGCTTTGGAGTGGCACAGTGCCAGTGTGCAGAAGTACGTTCCACCCAAGTTTATCACTTAATATTGGTCCAGGGTGATTTTACACAACAGAAAACACTAATGCTCATTTTGCTTTGTAACTCATACTGTCTGCATTTGCCTAAAAATTTTTGGTAATTACCACTGATAACAACCTGGAATTGTTGCAGAATTGCTGGTATGTGCAGGTAATAGTGTGAAGGAAATCACTACACCTTTCTCCCTTGCTCCTGTATCGCTAAGAAAGCTGTGCAGACAGCTTCCAAGTTTAAATAGTTCTGACACGTAAGGTCATGATTTCTGGGGTTACTGAGGACCTCTGAACACCTTAGTTGCCAGGAGTTGCAGGTACTTAGTATCCTCAAATGTAACTCTGTGGATACTCATTCTCAAAGGTCTTAATTTCTGTGAGATCTCTGATACCCACTGACTGTAGTCCTGAAATAGGAGTTGTCCATAAATACTTACACGGACTTCAGCTGTTGGCTGTAAGTGGCAACAGTGGAATTTCCCGAGGCTTCATGCCAGCACAGCCGTAATAGATTTTGTCTTTTAGCAGGAACTGGAAGCACCAAGCATGATACTGTTCTGCTACTCAGGAGCAAGTATCTGAGAATGCCCAGAAAAACACTGTGTTCTTTCCCTGTTTCTTGGAGTAAATCCTGTGGAGGAGCTGTGAACAGGACAGGCCATATGCATTATGTCTGATTGGAACATATTCCTTATGTTACAGGAATATCCTGTGGACCCCCAGACATAATAGAAAATGGATCTGTTCAGGGAGAGGAGTTCCTGTTTCACAGTGAGGTTTTTTACAGCTGTGACCCTGGCTTTGAACTACAGGGACCAAGCCGAAGGATTTGCCACGTTGACAAAAAGTGGAGCCCCTCTGCCCCTTCATGCACACGTAAGTAGCAATCACAGTAACATGGCAGCATTTCTCCAGGATAGCTGGGGAACAAACTGAGAGTGCTTTTGCTGGTTTCCTCGCAGTCTCCCCCTCAAGGTGCAGGGCTGTAACAGGAGAAGCCAGAGGAAAAGCCAGCAAAGAAATTCTCACTGGCAGTTCCTCTCTGATCTGAAGGAAGCTCCTTTTGGCACATTAAAATGGCACAAGCATAGAGTCATAGAGTGCTCAGGTCAGTAGGGAAGGAGTGTGGCCGACTGTATTTGATTTGCCTTGCATTGTGGTGTGCAGGGCCTTGGACATCATGTGCTGGGATGGTTTGTCTCTGCCATGCCAAGGCAAAAGGTGATTAATTGTGGGAGCATGGAAAGAAGGATTTATGACTTATTTCATACAGCTTATAAATGCCAAGATTTTATAGTCTTTACTAATAAATCATTTCCTGTCTTCTCATGGTGATGTCATAGTCCTACCCCTTGCATTCTTCTCTCTCACCTTTGACCAGTTTGTCTGGTCTCCCCAGTAAGTGTGGGACAGGGGGCAAGATCCATCTTAACTGCTGTCATTTTTCTTGGGGACATCTTGAGATCACCTTCCACGGTACAGGGAGCAAAGGAGACTGCAAATGTAGGCTCTGGCCTGCTCAGAAGAAATACTCTGGGTCACTCTGATTGAAAACGCCTCATAGCTTACCACACCATCAGATACATTTGGGCACATGCTCTATCAGGTGTCTGCAGCCTGAACTCCAAGAGAGGGCAAACAAGACATTGTATGACCTTTCTCCTGTAATACTTCACAGCTTCTTTCTTCCCATCTTTCCATTAATTCAGTGTGTGAACAGAGCTGTCAGACAGTGTGTAACAGATAGACAGAATGGCCTTCGTTGTCTGTATAAAACCAAAGAGTTTTCTCCTCTCCTAGGAATCACGTGTGGGCTGCATCCCTCAGTAGAAAAAGCACAGGCCATTTCTACAGGAAGCACATACAGAAGTAATGTAACCTTTGTGTGCAACTCTGGGTACCATCTTGTTGGGCCGCAGAATATCACTTGTCTTGCCAATGGGAGCTGGAGTAAACCCTTGCCGTTGTGTGAAGGTAACTCTTTGATTTCATGGCCTGACACATTCCAATCTGGGATAAGCAGTAGTTCCTCCCTTGTGCATGTATATCATATGATCCAGGGATTGCGCTGCTTTTGGGAAACAATTCTGTAATGTGCATTAAAAGTAGTGCCTGAAAAATTAAATGTGTCACAAGGAGCACTGCCTGTTGTCAAGCCAGAAAGAGCTTAGACATCATTTTTCCCAGGGTTTTAATCTGCAGTTTAACAAGTTTAATGAAAGATGAGGTTGCTTGCTATCTCAGAGAAATCAAACCCCTAATAAAAGGTGATGGATTGTGAGGACAAGTGACTTTTCTCCCAGCGGCCTTCTGTAGTTAATTATTAGGTTGATATTCTTTTTCTGAACTTTGCACCCCAAGAACAGTCTCAACAGCTCAGCCTTTAACCTCCACACTCCTCACATGAACAAACACCATGAATGCATGATGTGTACCATTTTGCAAATCGCTGCTTTCAGGTGCTCCCTCAGTAGGTGCTGTTGCTTAGGCCACAAAGCAGAATAAGCGCCGAGCAAGAACTGTCCGTGTCATATGGAGTGGGCAGTAGAGGGTGGAAACAAGGCTGTCAACACAAAAAGAGAACAAAAACTTAAGATCCCAAGTTTGAACAGATACTCAGTATTGTTGGATGACTCTGTCCAAAATGTAAAGCATATAGAAGCTTACTAAATTGCAGTGTCATTAACTTTTGAGGAGTGTTCTCAATCCCTGGCCTCTTTGCCCTGAAAATACAAAGTCTGGGCTTCACATTTTTCCCTTTCTTTCAGAAACACACTAGTTCATTTCTTGCCCATTGCACTTCCTTTCAGGCTCTTCCTGTCTTTACTGCGTATACCTCAGGTCTCCCGAGCTCGGCTCTACCCAGCATCCTGCTTGCTTTTCGTAGTTGCTCCTGGCATTCTTACACGGAGCTCATATATTGATGTCTCCACAACCAGCTGCACACAGATCCAGATGGTCCAGCATGCTGTGGCAGCTTCACCGAAGTAAGACAGATTATGATCTCCACTCAAGGCAGGTGTTAGCTTCCTGTCACCAGAGCCAAGAAAACTGCATGATGGCTAGGGACTATCAGATGCAGCACTGGGCAGCCACAAAGTGCACAGATCACTGTGCAGTACAGTGCCCTAATGCTTTGCAGACCTTATAGTAGCAACCTGGAAAGTTGATAGGGGACATCCACATCAGAGAGGAGGGGTCTTTAGGACCTAGACAGGCACCTAAGAAAAGTCAGACACTAGCAGTGCCGAACGAATGTCAAGGAGACCATCTGGAACAAGGTTGAGCACAGCCACTTCACCAACTCCTCTCCTCCTCTTGCCTGATGGCCATGTGTCTGTCTGATAGTCTAATCTTCAGTCATCCCAGCACACAGACCATCTAGGAAAATCAAATGGAAAATGAGATACAGAACAGAGTCTCTTGTGTAGCAGTGGTAACCCAGCTTGGATTGCCTGCCTGCTGGCTTCAGAAACATAGCTGAGAGTCTTGAACGGAGCAATTAGTAATATTTGTGTCAGCATCTTGCACCAAACTCATCCTGCATCTCATCTGGTATTGCTAGGTGAAAAGGAAGGTGCAAAGGGCTGCAAGTTTCTGGGGTATCTCAGTGGCAAGAAAGAACCATTTCCTTGTTCTGCCCCACTGACCTCAGTATGAAGTCATAAATGTGTCCTCTCTTTCCCAGCACCGTCACATTTTGCTGACCTGAAAAACTGGTGGCTGTGGCTTTTCTCCGTCACTGGGAGGAGCTCGTTCCTTAGCTTGGCTACATATCCTTCCCAGGGCTACTGAACCTTCCCTCAATGCTCTTCGTGATTTATTAGTTTGTGTCCACTACTTTAAACATATTGTGTGAGTAATTCAGGAATTGTTGGAAGTCCAGGTCTGATATCAAGCTGAATTAATGAGAGCTCTTCCTTTGCAGAGACCAGATGCAAAGTTCCAGTTTCCTTGCTGAATGGGAAGGCGATTTCTGAAAACAATACAGTTGGCAGTACAATAGCATATTTCTGTGAGAGGGGATACAGCTTGGAAGGGGAACCTGTTGCAGAGTGCACAAGAGATGGAAGATGGAGTAATCCCTTGCCTCTCTGTAAACGTGTGTGTTTGTTTTGTAATGAAAAAGTGGTCTCAATTTGTAAGCACTAAAGGCTAGACTGCTCTTCATTTAAACTGACAGTGAACAAGAACAACCTCTGCAGATCTTTGTGGAAATGTACTGTAATTTTCTTGTGGAGTGGCCATGAGCAGAATTTGTCACTTGTAGTTTAAAAAAAATTGGATTGGCCCATATTGAGAGATTTGTTGGTGTGCATCGCATTTTTACAGAGGAACAAAGGGAGTGGTTACTGAGACATGTTAAAAGCACTAACTTGTCTGAGTGTGGTTTTGTGACAATAAAAGAACAAGCTGCATTCTGCATAGCTCACTGTAGTTGGAAAGCTGACATAAAGTGGAGTCAATTTAGTCAGCCACTTGATGTATGAGGAGCAGGTGAGAGAAGTTTGGAATAGAAGGCAAAAAGGAGACTTTATTGTTGTCTACCATTGACTGTTGGGACAGTGTAAATTAAAAAGAGCCAAACTCTTCTTAGAGGTGCACAGTGGTGGGATGGGAGGCAATGGACACAAGTTGCAACAAAGGAAATTCCTATTAAGTATTTGAAGAACACAGGAACAGTGACCCAGAGAGGACATGAAGTCTCCATCCCTGAAGGTACTGAAATTTCAGCTGGTTAAGTCCCAGAGCAACCTCTGAGCTAGTTGGCCCTGCTTTGAGAAGGAGGTTGGACTTAATGACTGTATAAATTATTCTGTGATTGTGTGAAATAGAACCTTACACAGATGTGTGCTGTGCACACACACCCACAATAGCCTTCCTTGTTGCTTTATGTGTCTGATTGTAGTCTTAGGGTGGTTAATTGAGACATTTGATTTTTTTATTAGAAAGGACTCATAGGATTTTAGTTTCAGGAAACTGGCATCAATCTCTGCTGTATATAGAGTCCAGCCTTTTCCGTGTTCATGATGAGATCAATAGAGCATGCAAAAATAGCTCAGCAGGCTTACAGCCAGCAATAAGTAAGATTATCAGAGAAATTCTAAAGTCTGATAAACACTATTGTAAGTCTCTTCTCAAACACCTGGATTTTTGCTGCCTCTTTGTTGGTCCAGCAGGTGTGGTTCTTTTTTATAGTAAGGTTATGGTAAACAGGAAGGACCAGAGAGAACGATTCAGTAGTAACAAGTAGGATATACCCCACTTAAATCCTTCGTATGTCTTCTGCCGGCATCAGTAGAGTATGCTAGCAAGCCCTGTGACAGCAGAGAATCAAACCTTTTATTATTACTATTTTATGACCCAAATCTCATAACTTTACATCAAATTACAAATTGGACTTGTGCACAACATCCATTTCTATTGTTTTCATATGACTTGATCTTGAAATTTGCAGAAACTATTCTAAAGTATTTTCTTCTTTCCCTCCATCTCTTTTTCCTCCCTTCTCCTTTTCCCTCACACCCTTTCTTTGAACAGCAAACCCTTGTCCTGTGCCTTTCATAATCCCAGAGAATGCCCTTCTGTCCGAGGTGGATTTTTATGTTGGTCAGAATGTATCCATCAGGTGCAGGGAAGGCTACCAGCTGAAAGGGCAGTCTGTGATCACCTGTAATGCTGATGAGACCTGGACTCCAGCAACAGCTAAGTGTGAAAGTAAGTATATGAGGTATGAGGTACAGTTACATAAGGGCTTGGTACTTTTCAGAGGGCTGGTGACCACAGCTGTATCAGACAGGAGTGTGACGGCACAGGTGTGTCAGCAGTGCTCTCCACGTCAATGCAGTTATTCTGGAAGAAGAGAACTTTTGTCTGATAATTGCCATTTGGAGAGTTGGGTCACTCCAAGAGATCCAGGAACATAAAGGCAACCTAAGAAGCTCCACAGAAGAGCTATTTCTTCTTTCTAACAGAGTTGTTTCTTTAAAAGGATCCAGAATATGTCTATGTGGCTTGATGCCCCAAGAGCATTTGTCCTACTATCTACTAGGCCCTACTGTAATTTTCTTCTCAGTTTACCTTTTGCAAGCACTGGAGCTGGGATTGGTTGTTGGGTACCCTAAATATCCTGAGAATGATTCCTGTGAGATTGTGGGTGATGAGACAAGAGTTGTAGGGAGAGCTGCCACCTTTTATTGTACTTATTGACACTGACAGAGGCATAGTGTCCTTTTGCAGACATGTCTGAAAGCTTTTTGGCTTCTTGCAAGCAATATTGTTTAGTTCAGACAATGACATCACCTCACTTCTACAAACCCAGTCTCATGTATATTCTGGGACTATCAGAAAGTTTCTGGTCTATATGGTGGATATAACCATTGTTGCATTACCTAAAACTGCTGTTCCTGGCCATCTCCCTGCTCACTGGGTGTACGTACAGGTTCTCTGTGGGAGTGTTTGCACCATAAAGAAGTCCTACTTACTGATTTCCCATCAGAGGTGTCTGGCACCTCCCAGGTCCTTTATGCAAAGCACTGTGTCCAGGGTTAGAAACTATATCATGTAGACATTGCAACTCACCAGCCTCTGGGTGGTTTCTTTTGTTTAGAGATATCTTGCGGCCCCCCAGCTCACACAGAGAATGCTTTGATACGTGGTAGCTTCTATCAGTATGGAGACATTATCACCTATTCATGCTACAGTGGGTACATGCTGGAGGGGCCCCTGCGGAGCATTTGCTTAGAAAATGGAACATGGACAACACCACCTATCTGCAGAGGTAAGTCTTTTTTATGAACAGAAGCGTATCTTAACTTGGCATAAGCACGGAGGTGTCATCCTTGCTGCAATAAAGCTGAAAGTGAAATTTTTGCTGGTTTCAGTGCAGTCGTGGTTTCCCTAGGGCATTTAAAATGCAGGGTGTTGCTTTAGGAGGGCTTCCACAATTTTTCTCTTTAGTCCTTGCTGATCTTACAGTTTCTTTTGCCACAATGTTGTATCCCACACCTAAGGTGCTCTCTCCTCACATCTTTTGTGAGAAAGTGACAGAACCAGTCATCTTCCTGACATGCTGACCTGTTTCAGATAAGCACTGCCAGTCAGTTTTTACACAGTCAAAGATAAAGCACTGCAGAAAACAAAAGTAAGAGATCCAGTGGGTACTTCATCTCTCACTGTGTTTAGAGCTTGGCAGCTCATGAAAATTTTTTTGCCATAAAATCTTTAAGGATAGGTTGATACAGCTCTCTAAATAATACATACTAAGTACTGCAGAAAATTAGTGGTTTTAACAAAATACTAAAGACAAAGTCAAGCCTCTCCACCCTTGGCATACCAGCAGGAAAATGTCATTTTTTGGTTTGTTGAGCTAAAAAATTCACTTGTTTAAATTACAGACTTAAGTCGTCCACACAGAAGATTCAAATAAATAAAAGGTTTTGAACAGAAAATGGGGGAAACCAACACAAAACATAGACGAGATGATAAACTAAACAGTTAAAACCAGACATAAGCATCTTCAATGGCATAGCAAAAGGGTTCCAGGGTCACAGGGCTTTGATGGAAGAGACCTTGCAATCTGCCATTTCCATATCAGAAGCTTGACTAGCCTTCTGGTAGCTATAGAGCAGTGAGTTAGCTGTACTCTGAAGTCTTATCTCAGATGATGTTAACAGCAGCCATACTACCAACTGAGCCTTAGGTATTTTGTTTAGAAATGTGAGTATTAAAACCAAAAAACCTTAGGGCACATCAGCAGCCAGTCACAAGCAGCCCCTATCCTTGAGCTCAAAATCTTGCACAGAAGAGGAAAGGTGCCAGAATGCTCGTCTGGGAACATTAGAGCCATCATCAAAGTTGTCAGGTCTGCCTCTCCTCCTACGAGTCTCAGCTTCCCATGTCGGAAATAGAAGCAACAATACTTCCTTCCTCCTTGGCAATTTTCTGTTTAGTTCAGGAACCCTTTGGCGACAGAAGATTCTATACGGTGCTAAGCCTGACTCATCAGGGTCCCCTCATCAGATTTTTTGTATGAATTCTGACAGCAAAATATTATGAACATTAGGACCTAGACAAGCTGAGTTGCCCTACTGTATGAAATCAGGCACTCTGTTAAAATTCTGTATGTGATAGCTATAATTGCCTTGCCTAAAAATTACAGATCATTAGATCATTTTGAGGAGACCCAGAGCCAAAGAAGTGGGCTTGTAACTCCTGAACATTTCCGGAATAGAGAAACTGCTCCTGAAAAACAGGTTTCTCCTGGTTATGTGACCATGGCTTGCCATTAGCATGAAGAACCACTTGTCAAGTAGCCAAGTAGAGAAGATACACACTAAAAGCACCAGTGTTGCTTCAGATGCTAAGAGGTATCCAAAAGTCCTGTTAGAAATATACACTCCCAAAGCACCAAGCCCTTTCTGAAAAGTCTGCCAAGTATCGTCATTTCTTTCTAAACTGCGGTGGCTACAGAATTGAAGGGATCTCTGCATTATAGCTACTCTACCTAATCTGGAATTCATTAGCAAAATTATTTGGATATTATCTCTTCAGATTGTAACACTCTGGATTCTTCAACTGCCCCTTTAATATCCCTACCTTTACATTCTATTGTTATTTAGTATTTATTACTTACACAGAACCCTACTTTATGCCAAGGGCTATATTTTTCTGCTAAGAGAGCTTCTTGCCATTGGTGACTAGCAACCTGGAAGGTCTGATCTGCAAAACACTGTCAAATATATGTCCTGTTTGCAACACCATGGAGTTTATTGGGACTGTTCAGAGGAACCAGTATCAAGGAAAATTATTTCAAAAAATGAACTAATGAGGTGGGCAAATGATCAGGGTGTAGTGCAGGAAAACAAAGCAGAATAACCTGCTTTTTGGTGTATTAAGGGAGAGGAATAACAATTTCCCCCCCTCTTTTCACTTAAAACGGGAACTAAAAAGGACTAAAGATGTTTCTGAGAGGACTGACCTGTGTTTTCATGACACATGTCAAAATAATCTTTCAAAACTGCTTTATAATTAATCTGAGTGATTTGCCTAACAAAAGGCCTACAGGACCGAAGCCTTTGTGGAGTACTTCAGAAGCGACATGAAAGCACTCTGTAATGACTCATGCTGCATTTCTTGGTTTTGGCTCTGTGAGTTGATTATTAATGTGTCCTATGCCTGCTTGAACGTTCTGGCCCAGTTGAACAGGTTAGTTAATGTAAATATTATAATTAAAAAGCAGACTTCATTAGCTTCTTTGGAAGAGCTGTCGCCACAGCTGCACTTCCCTGAATCACTACTGGTTAGATGTTGCAGGACAGATTCTAATCTGAGTTTCAAGGGTGAGAAGTATTTGCCTGGTTCTGCCAATCGTAGACACCTGTAGGACTCGGCAGGCTGCACAGCTTGTCTGACTCCTGTTTTTTCTCTCTGAAGTGCTCTAAAATCTGTGCTGTTTGCCCTCTGCCCATGTCTTGCTGACTGGGAGTGGTCAGTGTGGAGCTGCCGACCAAAAAGTTCGTACCCCATCAGCAAACAAGAACATTATGAGAGGACAGCTGAGGCAGGGAGGAAATTGTTCACTTGCAACCACAGGAAAGCTTTTGGGCAGAGCTGATAACAGAAATTATTTTTTCCTCTTCTTACTCTTGTTTGTCTTGCAGCAGTGTAATGCTTTTGTGTCCTGTGGAGATAACTCTCAGGCATGGATTTACAAGGGGATCTCAAAGATTAAGGTTGATACCATAGATGTGAGATCTACTGCCACTAACTGAAGTCACAGTTAATGGTTCCCATTCTCTCCCCAGCACATCAAGACTGCATTTGCCCTACTTGCTTTTACAGTAGCATAAAAAGAGAATGATATCCCAGCTTAACTTACTGCCCTAAGCCTTTCTCTAGTCTTTTCTGTTGAGTGAAGAACAACCCCCACAGCGCTACAGGCACAGAGTCTCTGCCTGTGTAAATTGGTGTATAACAAGTGCACACCTAGGGATGATACTGTCTTACTCATTCAGTTTCACAACCAGGGCCTGGGCAGAAATCCAGGAAAAGTGTATCTCTGCCTGAGATTCTGGATCGCTGAGTGGGATGAAGTTGCCATCCAAAGAGACTTCTGTAACTCATAAAATATCCGCATCTTCTCCATTGACAGAGAGAGAGGATACATTTCAGAGACCATTTTTCATGGGCTTTGATTTTAATGCGGGATATCATTTCTACACAAACCTTTTACTTCCCATCCCATTACACATTCATGGGATATCGTTTAAGTGGTGTGGATCATACAAAGCTTTAAATGGCTTTTGATTCAACTTTCATAATTTTTCATTGCACAAGGGAAATCTGGTTGGCACACTATTCTGCTTTAGTAACACTCAGAGACAAACTGTCTGCGTAGTCACAGATATTGTTCAAAATACCTGTTAAAACACTGCAACTTCTGTGAACCTGCCAGGGCCTAAGGTGTCTTCCAATTCTCATTATCAGGTGACATTTGATGGGAAGCCTCTTGAGATTGAAAAATAAAGTGGCAGAGGCCAAATCTTGGAGGCTGTAGCTTGCAGCTTGGCATGGCTTAGCTGCAAGAGTGACTCAAGTTTGGCTCTATCAGGGGAAGACTTGCATTCTTTCCAATGTGGAGCTCAGGTCTGAACAGTGTTTCAGTGTGCTAAACCACTGTTTGTATTTAATACTAACATTAAACAACATCTGAAACACTCAAAGCCTAAACTCACATTTTGCTCACCTAGTAACTAATTAAAGATAGGAGGCAATTAAAAGTTCATAGTGAGTTTCCTGAGGTTACTCTGTGTTCATAACTACCACTAATTAGAAGTTAGTCTGATTACTTATTTGTTCTGTAGTGTTGTCTCAAAGCCAGAATTTTTGATCTTCTCTGTACACCAACATGACAAGGATTGTACTTGCCCCAATGATCTTTAAGTCTAACATGTTTGTACTTAGCTTGCCACATGATTTTGTAAAGTAGTCCTGGTTTCCCTAATAGTCCCATATTAGCCAAGATACAGTGTAGTGTCATAGAAATGATGATGAATTCCAAAGCCTGTCTAGTCCAGGCTACACATTGGGCTGGCATGATAGAGTTCACTTCAAGTTCCTCGCTTTTATTAACAGGTGTGCAAACCAAGGAGCACCAGTCAGCATGAATGCTAGGTGAGGTTTATAATCACACTTTGGGTTCCACAGGTAAACACTCCAGTGTGCCACTGCTGCACCCTTCTTGGTCACTCCTCATTACACTGGATGATAGCACAGTAAAAATTGCTTGTTCCACCAGAGCGTTTAATCTTACTTTCCACAAACGCTGTATTATGCCAAACAACATTATCTTGGTGTTTCATACCAAGGTTACAAGAAAGCTTGATTTTATTTTAGAGTTAATTCAGAAGAGAAAAAAAAAAAAGGTAATAGTTTTTGTTTGGGGTGGCATTTTTCTGTTTTGTTTTAAAAAAATGAGTGGGGAAAAGCAGATAAAACAGTGTCAGCCTTGAAACGTTGTCCAAATAATTTACCCAACTATGACAGAATCTTCAGATTTTTCTTTCTTGCTGTGGACATTTTGTTTTAACGGTTCCCACGCTCTTGCTCACAGTACCTAGTCAGACACAGAGCCAGAAAACAATGTAGCCCTTGAAATCGAAGTCAAGTTATGTTTCTAAACTTCATTACAGTTGTTTGTTCTACTTCAAGCTTTACAACTGCAAAGATCTGTTCAAGATGCTGAATTACTAAACTTCTAATTAACCGTCTTGATTTTGTCATGAAATTGTGTTGTTTTCAGCTGTCTGTCGCTTCCCATGTCAGAATGGTGGTGTCTGTGAGCGACCAAATGCCTGCTCATGTCCGGATGGCTGGATGGGTCGTCTCTGTGAAGAGCGTATGTATCTCATCCCTAAGTGTAATTTTAAGGATGCTGTATGTAAGACAAGTGAATTTATTGCAGTGAACCAGGTGGGAAAATTAAAGGTGTAAGAGCCAGAAACACAAAAATCATTACTTTATTCTGCTTGATAAATTAGAGAGAACAGAAAGGAACAACTGATTGCTTGTTTCTAGACAAATGACCATCCCCTTACACCTCCAACCAAACCAAGCATTTTTTAATTGATGTGATTTTCTTTGTGGGTGCTCTTTCACTATGGTTGAAGAACAGCCTGCTTCAGTTCTCTGAAATCTGTTTCTAATAGCAATACATGATAGTTTTGGGGAAAGAACAGGAATTAGAACAGAAGAGATATGAGTGTTCTGCTGGTGGCTGCATTTGTTTCTTGGCTTCCTTTTTTATCAGCATGAGATTATGAACCGGATCAATTCATGTTCAAATAATACAACTGTGTCACCTTTTCCATGCTGTCCTTCCTGACCTGTGTACCTGTACCCCACAAATTCTGGGCTGGCTTTTCCTGGCCTGAGTCTGTGAGTAGTTAGAGAACTGGGTCTGTTGTGGTTGAAAAGAGCCAAATCTGCCTCGACTTTGTCAGAAATTTCCTGGGTAACATTGGGAATGTCAGTTTGTGCCATGTTTCCTATTTTCTTTGTGATGATTTTAGCACAAGGAATTGGGGAGGGCTAACCCTTTCATGCTGGCATAGCTGCTGCACGAGAAGCCTTATTACTGTACACATAGTTAGGCGTGGGTCTATGTGGATAGAAAAGGGAAGTACCCTTAATGTATTTAGTATTAATTATGGCCCTGTTGTAAAGCTTTAGTGTGTCCCAGAACACCTGCAGCTGACATTGTGTCACTGTCTCTGGCCCTGAGTATACATGGAGACCTACAAAAAGATGTGGCACCTCCTCCTGTAGGTTGTGGAAAGGAATGTAGTTCAAGTATTTTGCTAGGTAGATGTATCACATCTTAAAATGGTCCTTAAAACAGGTCCTTTACCTAGGCAGCTTACAAGTCTTCTCTATGGCAGTGTCAGTTCCACGTGGCACAAATTAACTGCAGATACAGAATGAGGAGAAGAGGTTCAGCAAGTTTTGTCCTTCTGTGTTTACAGAAACTCCAGCTATGTAGCGCATTCACTCAGCCCCTGTTTTGCTGTCACTATGTCTGTCAGTATCACCATAGCCAGACATGCACAGTCAGCCCTGTATGTTTCACAGTTTCAGCAGAAGAGGACTGAGCCCTGTGTCTGCCAGAATTGTGTTTGGTATGCCACAACTGACTTCCTTACCTTACCATTAGTAATGATATTTAATACATTCTTCAGGACCAGAGGACAGATTTTATTCCCCCAGTCATTTTTGATCTGTCATCCCAATTCAGACCCTGTTTTCCTGTTTTCGGAAAATGAACAGGAAGCTGACTAGCCGGATCACACTTCATGCAGATACAGGCACTCACTCTCGCTTTTTTTTTTTCCTCCTTTACTTTGGCCAAGGTAGCGAGGAGAGGGGAAAAGGATTCCCACAATCGGTTAGTGCTACCTCAATTTTGCAGCATTGCTTGTCAAGCAAGGCGCACTGGTGAACAGAAAAGATAGGTTTAGTCTTTGGAGTTTAGGGCCTGTTCTGGAAGTCAAAGGGATTTTTGAGTGCTAGCACTGAGCACTGATCTGTCAGGATGAGGCCACGGTGAGGCCACAGAGCTCTGACAGAATTTAGTCATCTTGTAGTTCACAGTACATTTCACAGATAACAAGAGAGATTCATCTTCCCAAAAGAGGCCTAACCACTCTAAAAACATGCAAAAGATGCAGAACACTACTAGTGTAATGATACAGACAAGTAATTCTTGGTGATATGGCTTAGTCCTGTGAGCTCCGTGGAAGTTCACTGTTCTTTTCTTATCCAGGCTGACTGCACCTGCTCAGCTTGGCCTCTGCTGTGCAGCGGAAGAGGAAGAACTTCGGCATCAGTCCTCTGCAGCCGCCATCCCCCCTCCCAGTATAGAACTCCAGTGGAAGTGCCACTCAAGAGTCCAAATTTGACACCTAGCTCAACTCTTGCTCTTATTAGAGCATGTTTACACAAGTACTTCATTCAGTTACGGTAGAGATGGTAGTTTTGTGAAGGAACAGTGTGCACGTTAGACAATTTTACAGATCTGCTTACAGGAGCAGTATAGCTTGATTGGTGCTCAGTCCAGAGGCCATCAGTCACTTGGTATCTGCTTTGTTTCTTCCCCAAAGCTTCCAGCCACAGTCAACCTGTTGCACCCAAAATGCCTTGTATCAAAGCTGTCTTTCCATGGGGGCTTGTGGTGTCCCCTGTCTCAACATGTTTTCACTGGCCCAGACCAAGTGCTTTTCTATGGACAGTGCATAGATTAACTTGTTTTGGATGTTACATTGTGGGACCCCAAGGAATCTACAAACAATCCAGTTGTTTGTAATTAAAGCATGAACTGATTTTGTTAGCCACCTTCACAGAAGTGGGCAACGTCTGTGTATTTTACATGTGAGAAACAAGCAAACAGCCCTGTTTGTTTCCAGTGAGCACAGAGGCTACAAACTTCTGAAGGATTAGCAATTGCTCCAGTCTGACCATTTGTTTGTCATCATTCCTTTTCATTTCTGGCTGCCGTGCAATTCGTGTTTGCTGCTCATGCCTTGTGGGTAGATCCTACTCAACTCTGCTGACACTGCATACAAACACTTTGAGGGGTAGTCGAGTTTCTAATTAAACATAATTTCTTATCTTGCACACTTTATTCTTTGCTTTCATGGGAGATAATTCTTTTCACTGGTTCTCTTCTCTCCTTAGCAATATGCATTCTGCCATGTCTCAATGGAGGTCGTTGTGTGGCCCCTTACCAGTGTGACTGCCCCCCTGGATGGACTGGATCACGCTGCCATATGGGTAAAAATCCTTTCACCTGCATTTTTTTCTCACTTTTTTTTTGACTTTACTATCAATACCTAGCACAGTTCATTAAGGACTCTGTAGAACTAGTAAGCTTCTCACAGGAAAACCCAGGCCTGCAATAATATTCCTGGAGGATTTGCTGTCCCCAGCTGCAAACTATTTTTACAGTAGTCCCTGATGAGTCCTTAAAATCCTCAGAAAAGCTTGCTCCCAGAAAGGACAGAGAGCATTCATAAGAGTTCTGTCTGCAAAAAGCAGTTTGAGAGGGGAGAGAATATCCAAAGAGAGGAATCAAACTACACTGTCCATTCCAAGAAGAGTTAGAATTTCATTTTCATCTGCAGCACATGCAGGTCACCATTAAACTCACAAACAAGCTGCAGTTACTACAGGGGTTGTTCAGCACATAGCTGTCTGGTTTGGGGGATTCCCTGAGTTCTGAGCTTGTGAACAGGGCAGAGCAAAACAAGGATTTGTTGAAGGATGGTTGAGTTTAATGGGTACCATGTACATGGTACGTGGGTACTTTTCATTAGGCATCGTCTAAGTTCTCTGAACAAATCTAACTTGGGCTGCAGTTTACTAGATCTCTTACTTGCACCTAACCAAGGCTGAAGGGCATGTAGCACACCAAAATAGTGAGGGCTAGTAAGGGAGTGATCCTAGGCTCCAGACCTGTGTCCTGGCAAGTCAGCTTGTGTCAGATGAGGCTGATTTGCAATTAGGGGTAATATTTGAACCCAAGTTTGGGATATATGGTTTCACATCAAGACTAAATAAATGTCAGTTTTTGAAAGGCTTGTCCCTGTGGAAACAGCCAGTAAAACTCATAACAATAATCACTGAAATGTCCTTCAATCATTATTAATTCTTAATCACTAATAAATGTTAACTATTTTTAAAAGCTATTTTACAGTTTATTCACTGTATTTTTATTGTGCAGTTGCACCTTAATTGATTGTTAACAGAGCCTTTACATGAAAACTCAGTTTTGCCTTCCTGCAACACTTTGGAGTGGCCAATTGGGTGAACTGGAGGAGGAATTTGTGCTTTTCTTAATGAATGTTCATACTCTTTGTACAAGTGATAAGAATAGTGAGTCTGGGGGATAAGCTGTGTGATACACTGCAAACACAACCATTCTTCAGCAAACTGAAATTCCAGAGTGAACATTTTAACTCAGAACTACTGTCTTTTGAAGGGACACGTGCCTAGCACATAATGCATAATTTCCTCTCAAATTTCACAAACTTTGCAGCTATAGTAGCATAGATGTTGAGAAGGATAGGTGGCTTCTTCACTTTTGGGCCAGTGATTCAAATCTGTTCAGGCTGACTTGCTTTTCAGTAGCTAAAGAAAAAATTCTAGTGAGCAACTGCAACTATGCCAAGGCCCATTCATAAAAGCTTGTAACCACTGCTTATGAAGTTATTAAACCACTTCTCATTTTACTTACTGGTCCTCACCGTTTGCAAAGTGAAATGAGAAATATCTGGATTAACTGCTGGTCTCACGGGAATAATTATCTACATAAAGTGAGAGCTAAAGGTGTTTCATTCATATGCTTCATTCCAGAATCAGAAGTCATTTTCAATATGACAAACTTGGTGCACTTAATTGCACAGGGTTAGTCCATGTCTGCGACCTCCTGCCATTGTTTGTTCATGTTTGGCCGAGAAGAATCAGAGTAGTGTATTTCTATCTCCTTTCGCATTCCTGTCATTACTCATTTCCATTTCCTGTAATTCCATTTTAATCAGTGTTTTGTAATACATATTCTTTGCAAAAATACTGCCCAGAATTTGTCCTTACAGGTATCTTTAGGTCTGTCCTCTAGATATAGCATTATCTGCTTAAAAGACTTCACCCTTTTCAGCTTTTGTGCGATATAAATGTCTGTGTCTGAAGGACTTCATTAAGTGAGTCTCTAAATCTGTTCTGTAAGCTCTATGGTGCTTTATCTCCCAATAAATTGATAGGAAGTCTCAATAAAGTCTCAAAATTGATAGGAAGACTTGAAGCTTTGACTTTTGTTTGGATACTTGATATCCTTGGGTTACGCTGTCAGACAAAAGCAGCTGCAGCCATTTCACAGCTGGCCCAGCATGACCATATCAGGCAGGCTAGTGTTTGTTCTCCAGTTCAAATGCCCTGTACCACCTAGTCACACCTCTTATGGCTACCCAGTGTCTTTCAGGAACTTACTGTCATTCTCCGCTTTCTTTCCTTGTTTCCATACAGGTGCCATTGTGTGAAGTCTTACTCTTTGTCTGCTGTTGATCTGTAAATGGCTTTCTGACCTTTAACTTTCTCTGTTTCTGCTGACTCTTTCTATACTTTTTTACCACGTCTGGTGTATGCTTGTCCTGGCTACTGTTTAGCCATCACATTCCTTTCAAATAGACACCCACATTTTCTTCCTAGGAATAAGGCCTATTCTCCCGTTGATCTTTGGACTCTCTTAGTTCCTCCTGCTGCTTCCACTTGTGTTACTTTTTTTGCCTCAACTTGAGGCAAAAAGAACAGAATTTTTAAAGCAACATATAATAATACACTGGCTGTTTCATGCAGCTTATACACTGCAGCAGATAGCAAAAGTAGTAGAGACAGTCAAATCACATTCAGCAGAGATATGCTTCTAAAGCTGCCCTTTCCAGAACAAACCATATTTTACAACAAACTCACAGCTGATGTTTAATGTTGTAGTTTTGAAAATAGTCTGTTCTTAACAGAATAATGCAGGATTTTCAGTGCCTTGGTCCTTAACCAGCTTGTTGTGGGTGTGCTCATTAATGCAACTCTCTGTGTGTGTTTTTGTGTGCAGCTGTTTGCCAGTTGCCTTGCTTAAATGGTGGGAAGTGCATACGACCAAATCGATGCTATTGTCCCTCATCGTGGACTGGACATGACTGCTCTAGGTAAGTATTGCTGAGCACTGTCCCATAGCTAGGCTGAATCACCCCCTACTGAACTCTAAATATGAAGAATGTGCAATTAATTTTGCACATTTTGAGCACCTCTAGATCCTGTAAATCAGTGGCCATTGGATGGCTCATGATTTATGGATAATCTGGAAACATCTCAGAGAGTGCTCTGCAAAATGATTGCCAAACTTCTAGAAAATCAGGAAATGGTACATTTACATGTAAGCAGGGATGCAAACCTGCAAGGTTTAGTCTTATTTTTAATGGTGTAAGTGTTCATTTTGAACTGTATGTACCTCAGCTGGGTCCAGGTTCAAGACTAGGGTCATGCAACAGATGTTATAAGTAATAGCTCTTCTTACACCTAGTGTTGAGTGATGTAAAGAGTACAACACAGTGCCTCTGAGTCAAGTCCCAGTTCAAATCACATGGCAGTGCAGTCCCTGTATCAAGAGCTGCAAGGACTAGGCTTAGATCTGGTTCACCTGTGCTCTATTTTAGAGAGTTTTAACAGTGCTTGCGTTTTGTTTTGCTGATTCATGTCTAATGGGCCCAATAGCGGACTCAATTTTCAAATCAGTGAGCCCCATCACCATGCAAGGCAGCATTTACAAGTCTTAATTGTAGCTTTGTTTTTTAAAGTTAGCTTGTGAAGTTTGGGTGTTTGGCTTTCCGGGCAATCTGAACAAGACTCAATTTTTCTTTGGAAAGCTGTTTTATTTCATGCTGCCATTAAGAGCCATTTACAGCCCTGAAGGGGGAAGGCAGGTGGAATGGTAATGACATTGTTGTGGTTGAGAATCAGGTATAACAAAACATGCAGCATGAGTTCTACTCCCTGCATGGAATATTAATGAGGGCCATGAAACACACGCCAGCAAAAATATTTTTACGTCAACTCACACAAGCTCCTACTGAACACATTGGTCATTATCCTGGAGAGCGAAATAAATAACAGCTGAATATTAATATTTTTCTCTGGGATACAGACAAAGCCTGTGACATTGTACATTTTTTGTGTTCTTCTTTCTGGGCAGGCAGTAACAGACATTCCCCCCCATCTCTCACATACACTGATTATCTTAAAGCTACAGAAAAGATGCTTGTTTGAGAAATTACATTGTCCAAAATGAATAGTTTTCATTTGTCACCTGTGATTATATATGCCTAAGTGAAGCAACTTAAATATACTGTCAACAAACACTATCCAGCTTGAGACTGAAAGCTACACTTCTGAAGTCTGATAGTGTTTCCATTTAGGACATGAAGCAGAGAAGCCCAGTTCCAGTGGATTTAGCAGCCAGAAATTACGGAGTTTATCTCTGAGGCAAAGCAAAGTTTCAGGCTATTGCCAAACTGGACTCTTCTTGGGTTTGGTTTTTTTTGGTGTGTCCAAGTGTACAGCTCTGTGCAGCATTATGAAGCCTTGAGAGAAGGTGGATTATTAGCCCTACAGGCTTGCAGCCTAGCAGCTTGTCCCTTCAGGAGCTGTTTGAGAGGAAGCTTCCGACTGGGGCGGTGGAGGGGAGGGGACAGAAAAAAGCACTGAGATCTGTTTTGTGTTTGTTAAGCTTTGGCCTCAGCTGCTGATGGCTCTTTATGGGGTATGATACTGTTCTGACGACTCAGAAACAATATAGGTGTAACAGGAGTAAATGGCACAATAACAAAGATTTGCTGTTGCAGGTTAACTGGGTGTGATTTATAAGGGGAAGCTGAAAGGGCTAAAAGCTTTTATCAGCATCCAGGACAAGACTAACTCCAAACCACTCTGCAATGAGTCATGACTTACAGTAAATGCCAGATATCTCTATTCCCCACACCTAACCTCTTCCCCTCTCAATATGCCATCTTGAGCTGTGGCACTCTAATCCCTGGTATACTTTCAGACAGCATCCTCTTGTGCCTCACTGTTGATCTTGTTTGGTATGTTCAGTACAGCACTGATTTTATTGTGTTTGGTTTTTTTGATGCAGGAAACGGAAGGCTGGATTCTATCCCTTTTAACATCAGAGCAGCAGTTCTACATTCAGATATCTTTCTTCAGCCTAGGCACCAGGGCTTGGAATCTAGTGCATTGTAAATCAAATCCATTGCTTCCCTTCCCCCCCAGCTCCCTTGTTTTGTATTTTATTTTGTGATACATTTTTACTATACCTTTCCATTTTTAAAGAAATCCTCTGTATTTTTCATTTACAAAAGTATTATCAAATATATGCTGCTACACACACATCATACACATACAAATGTAAAGATTCCTACTGTCCACTGAGGAAGTGGTTGTGTAAATTGAAGTCCTTCCCATTTCTTACATAGAGTAAGCTAATTAAACAATACTATACTGCCAACTGTGATTAAACAGAATGTGGCAATTCTGCTTACCATCTTCCAAACATACTGCTGTCCAGCAACTCAACAGTAAAGACTAGTTACACCAGGCTAACTGAGCTGCTAAACTTTGCATTGGGCTTGTTTCTGAACTCATGTCGATGTAAATTAGAAGTACATGTGATAAAGCCTGTGTTGTAATCAGTTTCTGGAGGGCATAAGAAGATTCTGTAATGTATATTATGTGACATTAACATCATTGGAGAATAACTTAATGGAAGGCACCAACCTGAATTTTACCTGATATTTATTGGTAAAATAGTCAAAAATGTAAAAGAGATGAGAGAACATTATGTCATTCAGAGAAGGATGGACCAAGTCTAGCCAACAAGAGCCTTTGAGGCTTTTTGGGTTACGGGCAGTTCAGGTGTAGCTCTAAAGCTGGATAATCCAGATTCCAGCAGTGAGGAGCAGGTGGACCACTGAAACTTGTGCTTCTCACTTGCCAAGGGACTCACCACCTGCCTGTAACCACCATCTCTTTCCTGTGTAAATTATGAAATACATGTCTAGCAGCTGTCTGCTACGTGGGTGCTCTTGATACATGGGGTTTGGGTCCCAAAGTTTCACTGCCCCTAAGATAGAGAGAGAAGGCACCAGTTATGTTTACAGGTGAAACTTTGCTGTTTGCTTACAGAAAAGTTGTATTTATGTTATGCAGAACCTTCAGAGAACTGGAAAAGGCCTCTCTTGAGTACACACACAGGCAGAAGTGCTCAGCTGAGTGAGAAATACTGAGAGCACACATGCTGTCAATTTTCTCTTTCTCACACTGTTGATCCCGTTGCATCTGAGGACAACACACACCTGAATGCTATTATTAAGTCATGCTCTAATGAACTGAGGTGCTAAGGTTTACCTATGCTTAAGCAGGGTGGTGGAATTACAAAGTGGAAATCACATGCATTTTTTGAGGTCAAATCTTTGGTAATTATTGTCACTTAGCAAAAAGTCTGATCTATGAAAGAAGACATTGCAGTGAGAACCTGAGGGTCATTGATCAGGAGCTCCATTTTTCCCAGTAATACTAGAAAAGCATGACTTGCAGTCAGCACTGGGAAAGGAGGAGAAATAAATTTTACCTTCTGTAGCAAAAACCCCTGTGGATTAAAAGTGTGCACAACCTGCCCCACCCCTCCCTCCTTTATAGATTTACCTTCCTTTTATGAATGCATGAACTTGGACACAGGAAAGTGATATGACACCAAAATGAGCTTACAGTTACAGTAATAGGGCACTAGTAAATACTGACACATAACTGATGGCTGTTAGCCCAAGACCAGAAATGGGGAAGAAAGAAACAAGTGAAGTTGTAAGCCAGTACAAGCTTTCAGCCAATTAAAAGAAAAACAGATAGGTAAATAATAGGAGTCATTAGGGGATCAGATTAATGTGAATGTAGATTCCTTCCCAGTGGGAGCTGCAACCAGCTGAAGAGTTGTCATTTCAGCTCCCACAACCTTCTTTTTCTAATGGACTCTGCTAGCACGTAGCAACAATCTTCAGTCTCCCAGCTCCACAGCCATCGATGTTTACAGCTTTGACTGAAGTTAGCATTCAGTAAATAATGTCTGCGTTTCAACCCATAGTCACCACTATTTGTGGGCACTTTGTTCCTTGGCATCCTTGCTGATTTAACAGCACATGAATGGAAGCTGCAGTGAGTAACACAGGAATTCTCAAGGGAAGGAGTTCATGGGTGAGAAAAACAGATCATTATTTGTATGTCACTGTTATGTTGTGGTCCCTTTTCTAGTGTGCTTCTCTGGTGTGTGCCCTGATTGTGTCCTGGTGATCTCCAGAGCAGAACAGCAGTGGTGAGGACAGTGCTTAGAGCTGGCAGGACATTGTTGGAGAGTTTAGGGCTACAGGATGGCTTTTAGCACTTTTTCCAGCTTCACACTAGTGACAAGTACATGGAATCCTGGGATCAACCCAGTCAGCACGTTTTGTAAGGAGATGTGGTGGTAGGACAGAGTAGCTGAAACTCGAGGCTGTTATATTAGTGCTGTTGATGATGTTTTGATACTCGCTGGAACACTTTCCCCTCCCTACTCAGTACTGTATTGTCATTTATGTCACTGCTTGTTGTGTGTTTTAAATGACTTTTGTGTGATGCACTTTACACTGTAAATAAAGTTGCACCCTGTTTAGTACCGATATAGAGGCAACATGGCACTCTTTTTTTAATGCCTTGCAACAAAAATATTGACCTGCCCTTTAGGACCTACTGGCAAAGCACAAGTGTCAGGGAAATGGAACTTCACTCACGGGAAAAGACAAAATAATTGCCAGTAATCTTAAGAGGATGTGCTGGATTAGTCCAGGTTTGTTCTTTGGATAAAAATGCAGTTAGCACCTAATTTTTCAAATCCTTTCTGCTGCTAGAGCATATTTTAAAACTTTCAAGGGCCAAATTTACCACTGGCATAAACAGATGCACTAAAACCTGCTTCACTCACTATTTACACCAGATGGAGATACATCTTGTTTTATTCTGCACCAGTACTGGAATTTTTAAAGCTATGGAGATGCCCATATTCAAAGACAGTTGAGGTAAAAAATGTACTGTAGCAGAGAGCTTTGTAGCTCAAACATCACTCCTCCGAACAAGGAGCATATATGACATAGCAGTCAAAAGATAGGGTGTAGAGTTTTTGATGGCAATGTTCATAAGCTTTTCAATGTTTTGAGACATAGGTGTAAGTGGAGACTTTGACGTGGAAAAGTTAGTCAGTGTTTCAAAGCCTCCCCTTAAGCCACCAGCCCAAAAGCTGGTGTGAGGTTACAGACAGTGCTGTTAATGAAGCTTTGAAATTTGATGTGCATCTGATAGAAACGCTGCAAATTTATATCTCAAATTTACAATCCTCCAAATACTGGCAATAACCCTGAGTGGGAACAGCTGGGCTGCCTTTGCACGTGGGCTCAGATCTTGTGTGTGCTGTAAAAATACAGAGCACTGCCTTATTTAAAAGGAAGCATGTTAAGAATGAGGCTGTGTCCCTGGCCCTGTCCTCTTTGCAATGAAAATTGAACAAGTTAAAATGCTGAAGGGAGTCTGCTGACACCTATGTCTGTCTGATCTTGGAAGTACAGTCGGAAAGGGACGAGTGTCGGCTCTGATCTCGAGGGGGCACTGGACAGGGTTAGTGTGTGCCAGCCGTTGTTACCGTGAGGAGTTACCTTTTTACCTTGAGGTCAGTTTGAGCACTGATCTCTTTTGCATCTCAGCGCAGGAACAGTTTGTGCATCTCAGACTTGTCTTAAGAGCTGTTTAGATCCTCGCTGCGGAAGGGATCCCTGCTGCTTTTACTGCACTGCGAGTGCTTTTCTGGGAGAACATATCCTGACCATGTGTTTCCAGCAGTGAGAGACAGGCATTGCAGTACCTAGAAGCAGGCCAGGTGGAATATACAGCACTGTTATTGATCTTTAAGGTTATTTCCACTCATGCACATGAAGCAGAGCACTTCACATATCCATCCCATTTATGACGAGCTCCTCTCCCACAACCAGGGCTGCATTTCCATTACCTTTGCTTTCTAGGCTGACATGTTGCTAGTGCCTGCCAATATCAAGGTCTGCATGGTTGCCACCTCCCCGAGCTGAGCTGGAAGCACTATAAAAGCCAATGCTCTTCACAAGCTGATTGACATGGTTCTTTGGTGCACACTGGTCCATCCTGCCAGATGTCAATCATGTGGATGGACCAGCATCACCACCTTGTGCTACAAGAAGCCCCATGCATGGCCTAGTGGATAGGACACCAAGTTTCTCCCAGCCAGTGACAGGCTGTATCACCCCAAGAAAGTCACTTCAAGTCTTCCTATTTCACAGGCCAGATGAACCCTTCCTTCTCCACCAAGTGCTGCAGATGAGAGCAGATAGATGAGATTCAAGCATGATTTTCATCATTATTAATGATAGCCCTTCTGCAGATGTCATCTATACACCTCATTGCTAGCTCAGTGGACCAGCACTAACCTTAATCTTCCCAGTGTAATCTCTTTGCTGAATGTGAATCTTCCTCTTTCAGACTGTTGTTTGCAGGCAACAGCTATTGAGCAGATCATCCCGGAAACTTGAGTCCCCCCTTTATCTTCAGAAACTTTGAGGCTATGACAATGTCAACCAGACCAGACCAGCACCAGTTGTGACTGATTGCACCCAGAGCCTGCATGCATGCCAAAGGCGAAAAAAGGAGGTTGCTGGGCAGGACAGGTTGGCACTGTGATGCTCCTGGCCTGCACTATCTAGCATGCCAGGAACATGATGAGGACTGATCCTGTGCCTCCACCCAGCACTCTTCTCTCCTTTTTTTTTTTTTGCTGTGCTTTATCCCAGCAGCCTCAGGAAATCAGTCTGTCCTTATGCAACCAGGTGACAAAGAACAATCATTGCAGTCACCACTCCCTGCTCATCCATGCCATGCAAACAAATGCAGGGCTTTCCCGGTCTGCTCTTAGTCATGCCTTCCCCTCCTTTCCCCTCCTAGCTGCTTTCTCAGCAGCTTTTCTTTGCTTTCAATATCCCGGCTGTAGTACTTCCACTGCTCTTGGAAGAGGAGCGTCACAGTTTTTGCAGCTAACTCAGAGGTAACCGGAATTCATTGATGTGAAACCAGCAGCCTCAGTGGCTGGGGAGAAGCACAGTGGGAAGGGTGGTCAAGCTGTGCAACTGCTGGTGCAGGCAGGGCT